GATTGTTGCACTGGGAGACGGCGACGACTTTGGGAGCCCTTCGTCCGGCATGAATCTATCACCGCTAATTGGATAGTTGGCGGTCGAGACGAACGATGATGCTTAGACACAATTTAAACCTTTTACCTTGAAAGCGTCTCTTTCTCGCTCTCTCTCTGTGTGTCAGCATAGACAGATTGCATTTACTTCAACAGGAAGGCCCAAGAAGCTGTTATCGCAAGTCCGAGCATGCACCTCTCCATGCTGCTTTGGGACTGTGGCCGCTGGTCGGGACGGGTCATGGAGTGGCAGCCAGAGAGGAGAGACCACATATCCCGTGGCGTGTCACGGCAACAGGGGAGCGAGCGGCAGCTGCTGGCGACAACGGCGACGATGGCTGGGAACGGCGAGCATTGACGAGCGCTCGGTGTGAGCGCACCGCGTGGTTAAATAATCTCGGTGTCATTTAATCATAATTATTATAATTACTTATTTATCAAGAGTAAGCACACCGAGTCGTAGGAGTCTTTTTCAGGAGGGTCCTGCATTGTTTTTTTTTTATTTTAAAACGTTTTAAGCCAATTTACGATGAGTCGTGTTAATTATACACGTGGGGGAGGAAACCGAAGCACCCGGGGGAAATCCACGCATTATGCGAGGGGGCAACGCTCGATCCCCGTTCTGATGGAAACAGATGGCTTTTGCGTCCACACTTTGCTGTACCGCCTTCTCCTGGCGAGCCAGGATACGGGCACCTCCCCGGCGTCCGCGGAGAAGGGGATTTCACGACAACGTCAATGTGCGCGGTGATCCAACAACCCCCCCCCCCTGCTGCTGCTGCTGCTGCAGCCTCCACAGCGCTGGGTGTTACAGGCAGCAGCGTAGCCACCACGACCACCAAGCGCCCGAGTGGCGGTTCAATGACCTCCACATGCAGCCGAGGAAAGGAGGGTGAGCGGATCACAGAGCGCTTAGGGCCCACTCCACGAGTCGGCAGAGTCCCCGGGGAAGCCTCGCAGGGCAACGAGACCCACACGTGCACGCGCGCGCTCCACAATTGATTTGACGGCCGTGTTCACGACCACGTGCACACGTTTAAAGCGTTTAATTAGGCAAAGGCCGCGAGCGAGGAGTAATTGTAAAGAGTGAAGCAGCAACGTTGTAATGTTCAACACGTGATGCGAACGGGGAGGTTCTCTTTAAAAGGGCAAGTATTACACAGGCCTCTTGATAATATTTTAATTCGCGGTATTCACTTCCTGTAGATTTTTCTTCCCTGATATACAACACGATCGACGTATGTGGGGGTATGTTCATATACTGTTAAGAGCACGGCACAAACATTATTCACCACTTTAAACTCACCCATCAAAGGTAGATTGCTGATTACATCATTATATATACCCATCATTCCATTCTGATTTTTGTTTTACAAATTCCCCAAACCTTTCTTCAAACGATTACACTGCGTATAAGAGACACCAACATTTTACACAAAATACAATCTTCACACACAGACACATAAAATACAACCTTAACACAGACATACCACCACGGGTGTTTTTCCAATTACCATCCAAATTCCCGATCAAACGTGTAATAGCTATAAATATTATAGGCAATCATCCTTGGGGTCACGTGTCAAAGAGCATCCACGCACTCAAAAGAACAGCTACGAGACCGGGGGGGGGGGGGGATGAACCCCCCTTCCCCGCCGGTCACCCTCTCGCCGAGCCCCGCACGCTTCGAGGTCAACGATGGCGGGTCGCGGCGTCTGCCCCGCGACCCACGCTCTCCGTTAATTGAACATCGGCGGTGCCGCGGGGAATCGAGGAATGCGCGTCGCGTCCTCCGGACCGTTGCCACCGTTCATGCTCGGCGCGTTGCTGCCGGCTTGAGGGGCGATCTCAAAGGTCAATTTGAGACGCTTCGCCAAGTTTAAATTGTTGTTTTGCGTGGATCCCGAACCGCGAACTTCAAAAATGCGTCCCGGACGCACGCTTTGGGAGCGCCTCGCTCCCGTTCTTATTTCTCGGTGCTAATTCGCAAATGGCTAAACGCACGTCAAAGAGGCCACGGATTAACGGAAATCCATCAATTCCAATGACGCTTTTACGACGCAACGCCGCCGGTGGTCATGAATCAGGAGAACGCGCGCCCTCGAGACCTGAGCCCGGCGCCTGTGCGCGAGCGCGCGACCCACGTGCCGTGCGTACGGCACGGTGGCGCCTCCGGTTGGCTCCACGACCGCCCGCCACAACCCCGGCTTGGCCAGCCAAACGATCCAATGTGCGCGCTTTCGCGAGCGAAACGCTTTCCCCGTAACCGGCAGTGAGTGGCCTTGTGACAAATCTAGCGCGGGGCACTTTTTTGGCGGCGCTCGATAATTGAGGGCGGCGGGAGAGCCGGAAAATTTTCCAATCACGCGGAGGAGCGGCGAGCGCTTGGAGTGGTGGGGGGGGGGGTGAAAGGGGGGGGAGAGGGGGGTGGAAGGGGGGGGGCGCCGACGGTGCCGAGCGGCATCAGTCGACGCGTGCCGTGCGGCGCTGCGGCCGTTGCCATGGCAGTAAAAGCCAAAAACGGACACCGTCACCTCGGTCCCGTGAGGAGCGATGCAGCCAACGACCCCGCCCCCCACACCCCCCCAAACCACCCCCACACCACCCCCCAAGGCCACTCTCCCCACACCACCCACCAGGGCCACCCCCCCAGGGTCACCCCCCCCATACAACCCCCCAGGGCCACCACCCCCCCCCCACACCACCCTCCACACCCCCAACAACAACCGCCATTCACAACTAAGTGGCGGTGATATCACCACGACGCTTGTGCCAGGCCATGTGCACCTTGAGGCCACGTGAAGTGTCGAACGCCCGCTGCCAGGAGGTCACGGGGCAGACCCAGCAGGTGCCACGGGTCGACTGACTGAGATGACTGGCTGATGCACCACCTGTGCCCCCTACTGTGCCAACCTGCTGTGCTTCAGCCACCCGGCGCTCCCACACATCCCCCCCCCCCCACATCCCCCCCCACACCCCACACAACATGACGTAAGACGAAGGGTGACACGTGACACAGAGGGTCATGCACAGAACACGACGGGTGACGCACGAGACACTGAGGGTGACACACGAGACACTGAGGGTGACACGTGTCACTGAGGGTGACACACGAGACACTGAGGGTGACACGCTTGACACAGGAGGGTGACACGCTTGACACAGGAGGGTGACACACGAGACTCTGAGGGTGACACACGAGACTCTGAGGGTGACACACGAGACACTGAGGGTGACACACGAGACACTGAGGGTGACACGCTTGACACAGGAGGGTGACACACGAGACACTGAGGGTGACACACGACACACTGAGGGTGACACACGAGACACTGAGGGTGACAAACGAGACACTGAGGGTGACACACGAGACACTGAGGGTGACACACGAGACACTGAGGGTGACACACAAGACACGAAGGGTGACACGCTTGACACAGGAGGATGACACACGAGACACTGAGAGTGACACACGAGACACTGAGGGTGACACACGAGACACTGAGGGTGACGCACGAGACACTGAGGGTGACAAACGAGACACTGAGGGTAACAAACGAGACACTGAGGGTGACACACGAGACACTGAGGGTGACACACGAGACACTGAGGGTGACACACGACACACTGAGGGTGACACGTGACACAGGAGGGTGACACGCTTGACACAGGAGGATGACACACGAGACACTGAGAGTGACACACGAGACACTGAGGGTGACACACGACACACTGAGGGTGACACACGACACACTGAGGGTGACACACGAGACACTGAGGGTGACACACGAGACACTGAGGGTGACACACGAGACACTGAGGGTGACAAACGAGACACTGAGGGTGACACACGAGACACTGAGGGTGACAAACGAGACACTGAGGGTGACACACAAGACACTGAAGGTGACACACGACACACTGAGGGTGACACACGAGACACTGAGGGTGACACACGAGACACTGAGGGTGACACACGACACACTGAGGGTGACACAAGAGACACTGAGGGTGACACACGAGACACTGAGGATGACACACGAGACACTGAGGGTGACACACGAGACACTGAGGGTGACACACGACACACTGAGGGTGACACGCTTGACACAGGAGGGTGACACACGACACACTGAGGGTGACACACGAGACACTGAGGGTGACACGCTTGACACAGGAGGGTGACACGCTTGACACAGGAGGGTGACACACGAGACACTGAGGGTGACGCACGAGACACTGAAGGTGACACACGACACACTGAGGGTGACACGCTTGACACAGGAGGGTGACACACGAGACACTGAGGGTGACACGTGACACTGAGGGTGACGCACGAGACACTGAGGGTGACACGCTTGACACAGGAGGGTGACACGCTTGACACAGCAGGGTGACACACGACACACTGAGGGTGACACACTAGACACTGAGGGTGACACGCTTGACACAGGAGGGTGACACACGAGACACTGAGGGTGACACGCTTGACACAGGAGGGTGACACGCTTGACACAGGAGGGTGACACGCTTGACACAGGAGGGTGACACACGAGACACTGAGGATGACGCACGAGACACTGAGGGTGACACGCTTGACACAGGAGGGTGACACGCTTGACACTGAGGGTGACGCACGAGACACTGAGGGTGACACGCTTGACACAGCAGGGTGACACGCTTGACACAGGAGGGTGACACGTGACACAGGAGGGTGACACGTGACACAGGAGGGTGACACGCTTGACACAGGAGGGTGACACGCTTGACACAGGAGGGTGACACACGAGACACTGAGGGTGACACGTGACACTGAGGGTGACACGCTTGACACAGGAGGGTGACACATGAGACATTGAGGGTGACACGTGACACTGAGGGTGACACGCTTGACACAGGAGGGTGACACACGAGACACTGAGGGTGACACGCTTGACACAGGAGGGTGTTTCGTAGTCGTTCTTCACAGATGGACGCTGCCACGAGAGTGCGGTGCAGCACGCGTCAGTTCTTCCTGGGCTCGCCATTCGCCGAGATCCTCAGCATGATCGCGTCCTTGGGGCTCAGGGTGGTGAACGACTTGAGCCGCAGCGGGACCTGAGAGCAGGGACGACGGTCGCTCACGTCACCGCGTGACCGAGACGCGCGTCACCTCTCGCGCAGCCGGCCGCCACGCACAGCCCTTTGGTCAATCCACTGCTGGACGAGGCCCCCCCCCCCCTTGCTGTATCGGTCAAGGCGGCTGTTTGACCACACGTCACCGCCGCCGCCGCCGCCGGCCAGTGCGGGTTTGTTCGAGACGCACGCCGACAATCGTCGCGAACGCCGACGCGACGTAGGCCTGCCGACGTCGGCTCGCGACGTCGCCTGGACGTGCACGGCGGTGGACGTGCGGCTGATTTCACGAGTCATAGGAAACATTCATCGGTGCATCGAACAAAACAGTTCGTGAGTTCTCAGAACAAGATAAGAGAGCTTCAGTGAACAGTTTTAATAAGTTAGCTGTTCATCGGCGCGGTGACGTGGGCCCAGGCGGCAGCGGGTTTGCCGCTTGTTGCCGAGGTTCGTGGTTGGAATCTGGCAGGCCACCCTGGTTATCGCTGCGAGCGTATTCACCGTGCAATACTCCGCGCCGTCAGCTTCACAGTGGGACATGGAGATCCCGTGACGTCGTGCGACACGTAGGCCCACTGTCTGCCAGCGTCACGGTATAAGTTTTTGCCGAATTTGAAAAATGACACCGCACGTGGCTCAATTGTGATGACACATTGCAGCGTGGCTCCTGGCGGTGAAATTCCTGCAGGCCGTGTCCATGAATGACAGCACCTTCGTGAGAGCCTTGCACTGTAAGAGTGGCATGAATATCATATGTACTAAATTATTATTATTTACAACCAGGATACACCCCAATGTATATTATACATATATAATATACATATTGTATATATTACATTGGGATGACTCTTCTACAAATTACCATTTATTACGAAAATTAACAGATCTATCATCAGTATTGCCCCATATTAAAACAACACACAGCCTACGTAGCCTAACAGAGGCACCTTGTGAGAGGCCTTCATCCAGCAGTGGATTCACCGTGGTTGATGACAATAACGGCGACTATGAAGCTGCGACGTACACTTTGCTGGAAGGCAACGAAGTGTTGTTTTGTTCCCACGAGTGCTTTGTACAACACCGCTGTCGCAATCCCAGAAACGTTCTTTAAAACTGATCAAATAATCTCACGTTTGTCAAGCACTGTGCATGCCGTAACATGTAGGACACGGCGACGAGCATGAGTCACGCGGCAAAGCAAATCCGAAATCGATCATTCATTCGTTCACTCGCTCACATTCAAAATCCCCGTGAAATATACGCCGCATCTCAACGATTACACATCCAAGGTGGAGGTAGAGGCCCTGGTAGATCCTCAGGGAGTTCAAAGTTGCTGAGCCGGCTTCGATAATAAAATCCTGAGTCCGACTCGAGGTGTTGGTCGCCCGAGACTAAGCTCAAGTCATCGAGTGAAGCCAATTGAGGACCTCAATGTGGCCACCAGTGACCGCACCGACAGAAACCCCGCACGTCATATAAAAAAATACGTGGTTTGCCGTTTTACTCAGCCAAAAGGCCAGCTCCGGAGATTTGGTGCACAAGGTCTTTCACCACCAGTGCTAGTAGACCAGAAAACAACGCCAAAAGTCAAAGCATTAGCAGCTCTGGTTGGGAGCCGTTACATCGATAGGACCTTTTTTTTTTTTACCCAGCAAACTCATCCTGCGTTGTCGTTTGTTGCTCTTCCCCCGCACCTCCGATGAGCACGGTTGGCTACGTACGGTGCAAAAGAAGTTCAACGTACACACACACACATACACATGGGGCGCGTCCGCACCTGCGTATCGGGCGTCATGTGGAAGGTGAACCGGTGCAGCAAGCGCACGAGCGCCACCTTGGTCTCCAGCAGCGCCAGGCGCATGCCGATGCAGTTACGTGGCCCTGCGCCAAACGGCAGGTACACGAACGGGTGGCGTGCCGCCTTCTGCTCCGCGGTGAACCTGCGTCGCGCATGCACACGCGAACACAGACACACACGCGCGCATGCACACGCGAACACACACACGCACGCCCATGCACACGCGAACACACACACACGGGCACACGCACGGGCGCACATTAAAAGATAAAGATCCACAATGTAACCCTAACAGGCTGTTGGGGCAAGTGCCGTTTGCGAGGACTGATGAAGGCCGGCACGGCACACGAGTGGGTGGGTGGGTGGGGAGGCCTTCATTCAGCAGTGGATTGACAATGGCTGATGATGACGATCACCTATTTATTTGTTTCGTCTGTAGCCTGGCGTCGTGGCAGCTTTGAACTTTGGGAGCGACCTGGCCACGAAATGTATAGGGGCCAAATACTCTAAGCGCACGTTGTTTCTGAACGTGGTGGGAAAAACCGGAGGACCCGGAGAAAAACCCACACGACCACGGGAAGAAGACGCAAACTTTAGAAGTACAGCAGGCGTCACGGTCGGGATGGAACCCACGACCTTCCGCATATTAGGCGAGGTCGCTAACATCTCCGGGCAGCCGCGGCTCACTCGCCTCTCGGGGATGAAACGGTCAGGCTCGGGCCAGTACTGTGGGTCCCGGTGCAGCACGGCCACCGGCACCTCCACGTGCGTCTTGGCCGGGATGCGCACCCCCTTCACCACGCAGTCGCGCAGCGCCTCGCGTCCAAACCTGGGAAAGAGCGAGCGCCAACCGCGGTTGGTTTTGCTTCTAAAATTGTTCATTTGGGATTACGCACAGCAGCAATCATTGCCGCCTCTGCCTCTCCCCCCATCCGCTACTTGCTGGCAGACCAATGACCGTTTGGAGGCCAGGTGCTGAGCACACCTTGTGCAGCACAGGGACAGCTGCCCGTTCAAATGTGTTGACACGAGATGCGATGCCAAGCCGCTCTGAGACGCCCAGGAGAAACAAATCGTTCTCGCGATTAAAGTTAAACGTGCAGCCCTGCAATGTCACGCTCGTGCCACCGCTGGCAGAAGCAGCCTCCACGAGAGGGACCAAGCTGAGCCCAGGAACTGGGACCCAATTTATTCGTGGCGGCTGCAAGCTGGAGCCAAACCCAGAATCTCAGCAGTGGTAGCTTCAGTGCTCCAAGCCCTGTACCACCTGGCTACCTCATCAGAGAGAAATTCTGTGGCCGCGCCACAGCGGTGTTTTCTGTGCATCTCTTAAATGTTAACGCCGTTTTGTGTCGTTTTATACGTAACGCATCTCAGAGGTTTTGAAACGCGACACGTTGCTTTAATACGCGCCACTAATTCCAAGGCGTTATCGCAAAGCAACGTGTTTTGAACATTGGGCTTCGAGACCAACGATGAAGATGACAATATCGATGACGGTGGCGATTCGGACAAGACTGAACGCCTGCCGTCGCGACGGTTTATGGCTGACAGAGGTCCTGAGCTTTCCAAACGGGGCAACTCTCTGTGATGAATCACCCACCCGGTGCAATTACAATCACTGTCAAGGAGCGGTGCCTCTATGTAAATGAGGTCTATATTATGCGGTCTAATGAAGCTGCCCCAAGCGAAGACGTGACATGCGCCTTGCCGGAAGGACAGGTGAACGGACGGTGACTTCGTACCGCAGCCCTGGCGGGAAGAGGCGCAGAGTTTCCGAGATGATCATGTCCAGGTACGTGAGCTGCTGGATGTTGTCGTAGTCGGGCTCTTTCTGACAAAACAAAGACAAAGATCCCCCGTATAGCCTTCACAGCCTGTTGGGGAAAGGGCAGTTAGCGAGCGCCTATCAAGGCCGGCATGGAACACGAGAGGGTGGGCGGCCAGCACCACGCCCGGCCGCCTTTGTCTCCCTAGTGGTGATGTTTGCACACCGCACCAGCTACTCATTGGAGGCCGAGTCGACCTAGGGGAGGTTCAGGATCGGTTGAGAAAATCGTCACTGGGTTGCCGGGTTCGTAGCGCAGTACACTAACCGTTACAGTACCACTCTCCACACACACAAAAACAAAGATCCCCCGTGAAGCCTTGACAGACTGTTGGAGCCGAAACGGCACACGAGGGGGTGGGTGGCCAGCAACATGCCCGGTCGCCTTTGTCTCCCCAATGGCTATGTTTTTACAGACAGCACAAGGTACTCATTTGAGACTGAGTCGACCTAGGGGAGGCCCAGGACCGGTTCAGATAATCGTCAATGGTGTTGACCCTGAGCGGGAATGGAACTCGGTTCGCCGGGTTATTTGCGCAGCGTGCTAACTGCGACATTACCGCTCCCCACACACACAGACAAACACACACGCGCGCGTACACGTGCACAAAGACAAAGCTCCCTCTATAGCCTACATGGGCTGTTGGCGGCAAGAGCCGTTAGTTTGCCCCTATCAGGGCTACCAAGAGGCGGTGGAGTGGGCAAAATCACCCCCGGCCGCATGTCTCCTCACCGCTGATGTTTGCACACTGCACCAGGTAGTCATGGAAAGGCGACATGAGATAGGTGAGGCTCAGGACCGGTTCAGACATTCACCTCTGAAGTTAGGGGCCGTCCATATATGACGTCATGCGATTTTGGACGATTTTTGACCCCCCCCCCCCATCGTCACACGGCGTCACAAAAAGTCACACCCCCCTCCCCAAATATGACGTCACAAAGCTCTGACCCCCTCCTAAACCACATTTCCATTTTGAAAATAAAACATGCTTCAAATCGCCTTAAACTATTGCCATTGTGGTGCGTTGTTAACGTGGCGCTGCACTCTGATGTTGTAGGAGTGTTGTTATAACAATTAGTGTTGTTGTAACAATTCTATATTTATTTAAAGTTGCGCATTTTTACGTGACGTCACATTTCTCAAACCCCCCCCCCTCCCTCGTCACACATCGTCACAAATGTCTGACCGACCCCCCCCCCCCCCCCTCAGGTGCGTGACGTCATTTATGGACGGCCCCCTCAGTGCCGGCACTTCCACCGAGCCTTCCGCGTCCCGCCGCTTGCACGAGGGCCGCGCCTGCCGCTTAAACCCCCGGCGAGCGCCGTCGCCAAAATCGAACGCGCGCCTTAAACAGTCCCCCGACAGCGGCGTCACCGCCGCCGTTGGCAAGATCCGAGAGAGCGACAAGGTGGGGGTTGATGGTGAAGAGGAGACGCACAAGTGTAAAAACGTTCGCAAAAATAAAAAAAGGACAATAAATACGACGGGACAAAAACTCGCGGAGAAAAACAACAGAGGCTGGTGACCGCGTCAGGGCCGGCAGGTGGCGATGTCAGCTGGCTGCTCACACGTCTCTGTTGTGGGAATTTGGCCCACAAGTGATCCGAGGAAGCAAGCACGCGACTTTCAGTGTAAGGACGTAAGGGTAGCAACTTCGTCAAACGAGACACTTCCTCTACACGTACAAATACATCGTCACCATCAGCCACTGCCTATCCACTGCTGGATAAAGGCCTCCACGCGCCATCACCATCCCTCGCAGGCCAGTGACGCTATTATCCGTCTCAACTCTCGCGCGTGAACCTATCTCATCGCTCCATCTCCACGCTTCCCCTCCTTTGGCTGCTATTCCGTTACCAGTCTCGTCCACCGGTCAACGTCTAGCGAGAGATGCGTCCTGGCTTAGTCCATTTACAAAAAAGTCTACAAAATAACAAAGAGAAAGATCCCCCATAGAGACTTAACTGATTTTTGGGGCAAGTGCTGTTAGCGAGCAGCACCTATGAAGGCTCACGAAGGGGTGGGTGGCCAGCACCACGCCCGGCCGCCTTTGTCTCTCCAGTGCTGATATTCGATTCAAATTTTAAACGTAAAAAAATACTTGGTGATGCTGCTGCTGCTGCGTTGGCAGTGGTGATCAAGTACAAATAACGACACATTTGTCAATAACATCATGGCTGTGCTCTCGTTTTTATGTCACGGTACAATGAACGTCCGTTGCTAACTTTGGCAGATTATTTAGTGCTCTGCAAAAGTCAGGGATGTTTCATTGAACCCCCCCCCCCCCCCGTAGCGGTTTTACCCATAATGCAATGTACCAGTAACATGTTATGAATGTACTTTCAATACAAATTAATCTATTTACCTCATGCATTCGTGATTATTGTTTGTCTGCTACTCAATAACTACTATGAGTGTACTTATTCATATTCCAATTCAAAAAGAACAATTGTTCATCAGGAAACATTAAAATAACGTCTCATCAGGCCCCGTTAAGTTCAGTCCCCAACTCTTATTGCGCTGTATCTGCTCTCCCCGATCGATAAACGCTCTGATCGTGCCTTGTCTTTGTGCTGTTCGCCATTTGGCGTTCTCTGGTCTGACACTGGTGAGGCAAAGGCCCTAAAGAAGGCTGTCGTCTCTGGCGCAGGCCAATCAGGTTCAAAGACAATGCATCATCTATTATCAGAGTATGTTGGCTTGCATGTTCACCACGGGTACACGTGGCCAATGCGAACTTGATTCCTTGCAAAAAGTTTTCTATTTGGTGTTTGAACATCTTAACATCTCCTGTTTTACTGCCAGAAGGGGTACAACCTATTCTTATGTTTTCATACTTTCATTGCCCCAAAACCTCATCTCGTTTAAGGCCACGGTGTTATAGACGAAGAGTGCAGAGAGTGGCGAGGCATCACCGCGTGGCGAAGTAAGAGGACTTCAGAGAACCACTTCCGAGTTCTTGTCTCTCCACACCGTGGGATACTGCAATCCTCGCACTCCCTGCTACGCGTGACAAACGGGGCATTGCGTCATCCTCAAAGCTGCAAATATGTGGAATTATTCGAAAACGAAATATGGCATCATTGTTTTTTTACGTAGCCATTGGTGACCGGGCTGAGACTATCAACTCGCTACAATCGAGCACCTCTTCTTCTTCAAAACAGTGGTGGGGGGGGGGTTGCCTGGATCATTTTTTACAACTTTGGTGCGACCGGTTCAGCGCTCTGGCCCAGTTCTCAGGCCCCCGACACAGCCGGCTGCGCCGTGTACGGTCGCCTCCACTGTTAGCCTGTTGCAGAGATTCCATCGCGGGCAAAGCGAGACGCCGACCCCGATTTCTCACGGGGTTTGGATGCGAGGGCACGACAATGCGAGGGTGCGCCCGGGGTCTGGTGGCGGTGTCCCTTGAGGGAGTCTGACACCCCCCACCCGAGCACGCCCCCCGCCCTTGCCCTCTCTCCCTTCTCTTTGTTCCCCCGCGTGCCTTCACTGCACCCTGCCATCTGTCTCGCCGGCCCTCGCACGAGGATGACCAAACGCGCGCACGCCTGCGCGCGACGATCGCCCCGCAGCAGCCACCGAGACGCCGTTTCATCCGAGTTGCCGCTAAGCGCCGCGGTCGCGGCAGACCAAGTCTCGCCGCGGCTAAAGCATCTGAGAGCGGCTACTTCGTTTTTTTTTTTGCGCGAGCAAAGTGACAGCCTCCCATCTGGCGCGTCGCCGTGCACCCGCAAACGCCCCCACAAAGCAGCGGGTAAAATATAGCCGGCGTTGATTTTTTTTGTCGGCAAACAAAAGGGGTACAAATTGGCGGCGCGTTAATAGCGATAAGCCGATGCGGCGGAGGGGCGACGTGGCGGGCGCCAGCTCGCTGCCAACGCCGGGCAGGGCGGCGAGCGGCGCCTTCGTCTTCACCGTGGAAGAGCTCCGCGAGCCACGGCAGCTCCGCTCCAACGGCGCGGCCGGACGAGGCGACGCCGTTTACTAATTCATTCGCTCGTTTTGTCTTTTTGTTGTCGTAATACGCAACGCATCCCCCCCCCCCCGACTCAAAACATATACACACACATCACACACACACATCTAAATCCACGTTAATTTTCGTCTGAGCCCCGAGGACACAATGACCGGGAGATTTTAATTAGGACAGGAGGCGCGGAGTGCAGCCGCCGTCAGACGGAGGCATTAAAATGCTAATGAGCAGCTGTGGACAGGGGGGGGAGACGCGGGGGCAGCTGCTCCTCGGCAGGAGGCGTCGCGGCCCAACGCAGCCGCCCAAGCAGTCGCCGACACCGCAACCGCCGCCACGGCCGCCGATCTCTTGCGCCGGGCCGCTCACGCACGCACGCACGAGCAGCCGGTTGCCCCTTCTCAACACCCTGGCACCGAAATAAAATGCCGGGGCTAATTTTAAGCGGTGCTTTTTTCGTTGTCCGCGACAGGCGAGCGCCCGCGTGTGATGGTCGCCGGCGGCAGGGGATTTTTGGTAGTCATCATCCGAGGACGTCGATCTCGGCATCGCCGTGGACCCGCGGTGCCGTGGCAGCACGGCTTCAGGGCCACGGGCAGGGCTTACGGCCCCGTCTGCCTCCGCTCGGGTGCTCGGATGAAGGCGATTCCCTGCGGTTTGCGAGATGAGCGGCGATGACAATTTTGGCGACGGCACTGGCGACTGTTAGTTCGAGGATCGAGGGTAAGCTGTGTTATTGTTGGATCGGCGTGGCATGAGAAGATCACTTGAGAGGACACCTGTGTTATTAATCTGCCAATCACCTTGGTTTATTAACCGGTAAGGCCACTCTTGATATTGCCTACAAAAAACAAAAGTCAAATTGATTCACCTGCTGGCTGAGCAATGAGGCAGCACTCATCTCCTGTATACAACCCTGAGCCTGTGCTGGAAAATCCACATTCCTCTGGTAGGGGCAAGTCTATCTAGAGTCAACCCCCAGGGATGATGGGCAACCTTCGGATAGGTAGCCGCTCACTACCGCTGAGCACCAGACCCGGTCAAAGAGCCTGCCTCAATATCCACACCAAATACAAAGATCCCCCGTACAGCCTCAACAGACTGTCGGAGCAAGTGCCATAAATGAGCACCTCTGAGGGGGTTGGGGCCAGCAACCCGCCCGGCCGCCTTTGTCTCCCCAGTTGGGATGTTCACCACACACCACACCGGGTACTCATTTGAGGCTCTCTCCCCCCACTGCCTCAAGCCTCCACTTCCCCAATTCAAGTTTTTAGTAATTTTGTTTTGTACATTTCTGTTGCTGTAGTAACCTAGCGTAGTAACCAGGTCCCCATCGGAAACAAGCGGGTATTGCCCAATCGGGGTTGGGGGGGGGGTGTCACCAGTGCCACAATAAAACCTCACCCCACGTTGCGAGGCATTCGCTGCGGCTCGCGAGCCGCGCCGGCGATGTCGGCTACGGCGCCAGTGCCACGAGGGCACGACGACTCCACGTCGCTCTCCAACGGCGGCCTCAGCCGGGCCACGCGGTGTCCGGTTACCCGTGTGTCTGCGCGATGGCGCACTTGCCCCCCTCCCCGGCACACATAATGCGGACGCGCAAAGCGATGAAGGGGGACAGCGTCGGGGGGGCGGGGGAGGCCGAGACGCCGGCGCAGGGCACGGCACCGCGTCCGCCACTCGAGGGACCGCACCTGCGCCGGACAACAATGGGAGCCGTCATCGTCCCGGCGTAACTCGAGAGCGAGGAGGAGTGAGCAACGGAGGAGTCCACTTTTCCCCCCCACCCCCTCTACCCCCCCCCTCGGCCCTCGCGCCGTCCTCCCGACCGCTGCCGTCACTCGCCAGGGCGGGCGTCGCCCCCGCGGCTTTGTCTCTCGCGCCGGCTCGCGTTACCCAAATCCCCGGTGTCATCGGCTGTTGTGCCCAAGAGCGATGAGAAAACGCCGTTTGGGAGTCGCAGGAGGAAAAACAAAAAGTCACAAAAGAATGAAGCGGGGCGGGCGATTAGGTTCCAAAGGCAGCCATTGAGCAGGTGGCTCTCACGGGCTTTGCGGGAGATAACGCGGGGCGGGTTGGGTACGATTAGGGAGGAGCAACCACGGAGTGTCCAGCGGCACGGCGATGCAGATGTGCGTACGTGCGTGGACTGCGGGTGGCGCGGCGGCTGGGGTTTGCCACGTGTCCCGGTTTTTTCCCATCACCGTCCCCTTATCGGGGCAGCGGCTGCTGTGCTGGGAAATCTGTTAAAGTCTTCGCGGGACAATAAAGGCCCTGGTTTTTGTCAGTCGCGTCGTAATCAAGCACCGCTTGAGACGGTGCTTTTACGCGTACCCGTACCCTCCGTGTTACGCGGCGCTCGGGGAAGTAAAACGCACCCCAAACCTGTGCCCGGTGTGTCAATAAAGTTCCATACAGATCTGGTCACACACAAAGACCCCTCGTGTAGCCTCAACAGACTGTAGGGGCAAGTGCTGTTAGCGAGCACCTATGAAGGCCGGAACGGCACACGAGGGGGTGGGTGGCCAGCACCACGCCCGGCCGCCTTTGTCTTCCTCGTGCCAATGTTTTTACATATCGCACTAGGTTTTCGATTGAGGCTGAGTTGACCTTAGGGGAGGCCCAGGGCCGGTTCAGATAATCGTCACGGATGTTGGCCGTGAGTGCGAATCGAACTCGGGTCTGCCGGGTTCGTAGCGCAGCACGCTAACCGCTGCACACAGAGCGTCTTACAATCCGGAGAATGCGGAAGTTGTCTGCCTCTTCCACCGTTTTCTCCCCACGATTCCGTCCCCGCGGTGTTTGTGCCACAGGGGGTGTTGTGGCACACGACCCCGAGTGGGCACCGCGCTGCGTGCGCGCGTGCCAGTGTGCGTGCCAGCGTGCCGGCGTACGTGCTGCCTGTAGAAGCCCATGATCTCCTCGCGCAGGCGCGTCTGGCAGACGGGGTTCGTGGCGAGCAGGTACGCGACGAAGCCAAGCGTGTTGGACGTCGTCTCGTAACCGGCCACGAAGAACAGGAAGGCCTGGCCCAGGATGTGGTCGTCCGTCAGGGTGTGCTTGTGGATGCGTCTCCTGTTAGGGCCTCCTCCTTCTGCTGCTGCAGCCGAGGAGGGAAGACAGAGAGCAGCGGCGACACGCAGGTTCACGCCGTTGTGTGCTGCCGCGTGGATCTCTCCGCAGCGTTCCCGGATCGTGCCACGTTTGACACGCGGCACGAAACGTCCGACGTTTCGCCGTCACGCGCGCCGGGAGCTTCTTCAGGAACTGAAGGATTCCTGAGCAGAAAAACGTCGGACATCGTGCCGCCGGACAATATGCGGCACGACCCGGAAAACCTGTCGGAGAGCCGTAGGGAGCTGCCGATAAACGTGCACGCACGCACGCGCACCTCTCATCCCTCGGGGGCCACAGTTTACCGCTCGCTCGTAGGCCGCTCTCTAAATTTATCCTCGGGAAAGGAAAAAACGACTTCTTGTGAAGCCACACACCTGCGTGCTTCCCAGCAGCCGAGGTGCGCACGTACAGGTGTCGGATGGATTCAGCTGCATTCTGGGTGAGGGGCCATCAAGGGAATGGGTTGTTTATGCTGAGCAACTAATAAGCGAGGAGTTTCCCTCGACTTGTTTTGCCAAAAACAAGTCGACCTGTACAGACAAAAACTCTCCCTCCCCTGTCCCTGCTCACTCCTGCGATGATCACGTCCCCCGTCCTTGCACAGCAGCTTGCTTTGTGGGTGTGTTTAGAAAGTACGTAAATCCACGTCACATCGCTGTATCGTAACGTTCTGTATACGTACGGCACTTTAGTCAATCCACTACTGTGTGTGGGGCTTCTCCACACCGTGCGGTCATTGGGGTTATATTTGACCATACTTCACCACGCTGGTCAGTGCGGGTTGGTGAAGGTGAGGCAGACAGATGTTGAAACATGGCACGGTACAACAATGGATTTTGCTGCACTGCCCCATGCTGTAGCATAGTTCAGACACGGACACTTGATGCGCACGTGGAAAATTAAAAACTCTCCCACGTGTACGACTGTGGTCACCCAGAACAGAATCATGGAACATATAACGACTCAGTGCCCGATTCACAAACAGGAAGGAGGCATCATCATCACAGCAGCGATGCACCACTCCGCTATTCCTGACGCAATTATTTCGCTCAACCACCTCAAAGCGTATTTATAGTCGCTGCTTTACATCACCATCAGCCATACGAAAGAATGGAAAAAAACACTTTAGGTGAGGAGCATCTTTGCCCATATCCCTCTCCTCCGCGTTGCTCCGACATTTTCACTGCACACCGACGGTCTCACGCACCCCGAGCGCTGGAGTCGCTCCCTGCTCCTGCTCCTCCATCGGCCACGTCTCCCTGGCTCTCCTTGGAGCCCTCCGCGTCTCCTCCGTCGCCGCCACCCTGGCCCTCGGGCGCCACCTCTCGTGCATCGAGCATCAGCTGCAGGAAGTCGCGCCGCCTCTGCGCGCCCACGCGGAGAGCCTCTCGTCGTTATCTCGAGCACCCCTTGGGTTTGGCGCCTCCACACGCACCGCCGCACGCGAGGGTGAAGTATAAATAATGCCTGACGACGATGATGATGATGGTGAAATCAAGGAAGCGGGAATCAAGTCACAGCCGGGTGGTTCAGCGGTAATAAAAATGAAAACAAAAACATCAGGCAATCTGTAGTATGCACAACAATGGAAACGAAGTTAAACATCAACTTTTTTTTCTTTTACGGGGGAGCAGGGTGGCTCAGAGGTCAGAGCGCTGAGCCGGCGACGCTGAGGTCACAGGTTTGAAGAAAAGCTCCAGTCGCCCGTTGGTCAACCGGGTTCTCAAAAGCAGCGGAATTGATTGCCGTGGCCTGGTTGCCAATAACCGCACATATTAACTAAATAAATCACACTTTATTTCACTTAACTTGGTCCAATTCCGCCTGTAAGCATGCCAAAATATGGGTTTGACTCCCATGCAATTAATCATTACTTGGAGCAGGAAGGGTGGGAAAGCATGCCCTGCGGTGTAAGATGCAAAATAATCATAACCAGGGCGGTCCTCAACCGTACAGGCCGATGGATTAGAGTTCCGAACGAAAGCTCTATCTCATGGCAAGGCTCGGGAACAAAACAACGTCTGGGGGAAAGAAAAAAAAACGAGCCAGTTGGTCTTGTCGCGAACAGCGTTTAAAACTAAATTAATTTTATTTTACCGGGTAAGGCCCATTGAGCTATATTGCTCTTTTTCAGAAACGACCTGGTCACCACAAATGATAGCTCAACGAAGTCTGCGGGTTTGCCGTCCCGTTTTCACGGGTCGTCAACATCGCGCGGGTACAAACTCGCCCCAAATGGGCGCGATGAGACGCGACGGGCTTCTCCATGGGGCTGCGTGGGTGCCGTGGCCTCTTTTGAGCGGCTCCACAAGCCGCAAAACCAGCAGCCACACAAAGCCAGGCAGTCCGGCACAAAATAGCCCAGTCCTATTTCACAAAAGTCCTAGAAGGCTCGGGCGCTATGTTTTTTTCACCCCGGCACTGATTCATTCCCCAAATGCTGGAACCCGTGTAAACATGCGTAGCCCGTGCGAGTAATTTATTTTACTTCAGGAATGTGCGAGTTTGTGCCAGCGGTCGCCCGCGTGGTCAGCCTCTCCCACCAGCCCCGGCCAGGCAGCGGACAGCCAGCCCAGCGTTACAAAATCCCATACAAATGAAAATTAAATTGTTGCCTTTTTTTGGTAAACAAAGGGGGCATTATCATCACTATGCCGACCGCCGCGTCCCCACCCCCAGACGGCGACGCGGACTGACATATGGCCGGGCGCCTCTCACAAGCGAGCGTGTGTGCGGGCCGCTCGCTCGCTCACTCAGAGTGTTTGCGCGCGTCCATCCGTCCGTGTGTGCACGTGTGGACGCGCGGACAAGCGAGCCCCTCTCCTCTCCGTGTCCCCACACACCCCCCCCAACCACCCCCACACACTCCGACCTCCCCACCGCTCCACTTCACACACAAAAGCGTCGGTTTGTTTTCAGAGCTGCCGAGGCCCCCGCGAATGAAAGCTCCGTGGCGTAAATGTGAGCGGCGTGAGACAGTTCGGGTCAGGCTCCGACGCACGGACACAAAGATAAAGATCCCCCGTGTAGCCTACACACGCTGGCGGGGAAAGTGCCGTGAGCGAGCGCCTGCGCAGACGCAAGCAAGCAAGCAAGCACGTGGCTACGCCGACCACCCACGTGTCGTCAAAACAACGCCGGCTTGTGGGACGTCCGGCCATCGGTCACGAAACATTCCTCGTTTCATCGATGGTCCCGTAGCATGTTGCTACGATTCTTGGGATCCGTCAGTCGTACGAGCGTGATCGGCGAGCCTCTTCCTAAATATGCTTCAGCCATTTAATACGACCATCATCATCATCAGCAACTGTCAATCCACTGGTGGATGAAGGCCTCCCCAATCCGTCGCCATCTCTCATAATCCTGCAATGTCAAGACTCAAGCCAACATCACATTTTACAATAAATCTAAGATTTTATACAGTCTGTTAAAACATACCTGGCTTACTTTGTTGTGTATATATTTATAATCCGTAATTGATGCGTGAAAACAGCTGGACACTGCTAGATATGGATGTATGTTGAACTTCTTTCGTACCGTACATAGCAAACTGTGTTAATTGGAGGTGTACTTAGTGAGGCTTTCCTTGTATTATTTGAAAGCATCTAAATTGATATCTAGATTCTGTTGAAACAAATTACCGTTGTGGAAGTATACTCTCCTGCAATTTGTGATAAGAAAACATTGATATTTAAAACATTTGTATGGATCGTGGCAGGCGGATGCGAGAAGGTCAATGTGCGCCCAGATCATCCCTCCTGCTGCTTATCTGAAATCAGAGACTCTGCGAGACAGACAGGCGGGCAGACAGGCTCCACAACGAACCCGCCAAGGTCACATCATGACACTCACCACGTCCACACACCACACAGACACACACACACTCATCACGTCCACACTACACACAGAGACACACACACTCACCACGTCCACACTACACACAGACACACACTCACCACGTCCACACACCACACACACTCACGTCCACACTCCACACAGACACACACACACTCACCACGTCCACACACCACACAGACACACACTCACCACGTCCACACTCCACACAGACACACACTCATCAAGTCCACACTCCACACAGACACACACACACTCACCACGTCCACTCTCCACACAGACACACACACTCATAAAGTCCACACTCCACACAGACACACACACACTCACCACGTCCACACACCACACACACTCACCACGTCCACACTCCACACAGACACACACTCACTCACCACGTCCACACACCACACAGACACACACACAAACTCATCAAGTCCACACTCCACACAGACACACAGACTCACCACGTCCACACTCCACACAGACACACACACTCATCACGTCCATACTACACACACCACACAGACACACACTCACCACGTCCACACTACACACAGACACACACACACTCACCCCATCCACACTACACACACCACACAGACACACACACACTCATCACGTCCACACTGCACACACCACACAGACACACACAGACTCACCATTCCACACACCACACAGACACACACACTCACCACGTCCACACTCCACACAGACACACACACTCATCACGTCCACACTACACACAGACACACACACTCACCACGTCCACACTACACACACACACACTCACCGCGTCCACACTACACACACACACTCACCATTCCACACTCCACACAGACACACACACACTCACCCCGTCCACACTGCACACACCACACAGACACACACACACCACGTCCACACACCACACAGACACACACACACACTCACCACGTCCACACTACACACAGACACACACACACTCACCACGTCCACACTACACACAGACACACACACACTCACCACGTCCACACACCACACAGACACACACACACACACACTCATCAAGTCCACACTCCACACAGACACACACACACACTCACCACGTCCACACACCACACAGACACACACACACTCACCACGTCCACACTCCACGCAGACACACACACTCACCACGTCCACACTACACACAGACACACACACACTCACCACGTCCACACTACACACACCACACAGACACACACTCACCACGTCCACACTACACACAGACACACACACACTCACCCCATCCACACTACACACACCACACAGACACACACTCATCACGTCCACACTGCACACACCACACAGACACACACAGACTCACCATTCCACACACCACACAGACACACACACACACTCACCACGTCCACACTACACACACACACACACTCACCGCGTCCACACTACACACAGACACACACACACTCACCACGTCCACACACCACACAGACACACACACACTCATCAAGTCCACACTCCACACAGACACACACACACTCACCACGTCCACACACCACACAGACACACACACACTCACCACGTCCACACTCCACGCAGACACACACACTCACCACGTCCACACTACACACAGACACACACACACTCACCACGTCCACACTACACACACCACACAGACACACACTCACCACGTCCACACTACACACAGACACACACACACTCACCCCATCCACACTACACACACCACACAGACACACACTCATCACGTCCACACTGCACACACCACACAGACACACACAGACTAACCATTCCACACACCACACAGACACACACACACACACTCACCACGTCCACACTACACACAGACACACACACACACTCACCCCGCCCACACTGCACACACCACACAGACACACACACACCACGTCCACACACCACACAGACACACACACTCACCACGTCCACACTACACACAGACACACTCACCACGTCCACACTCCACACAGCACACAGACACACATTTACAACGTCCACACTCCACACAGACACACACACTCACCACGTCCACACTACACACAAACACACACTCACCCCGTCCACACTGCACACACCACACAGACACACACACACACACTCACCACGTCCACACTACACACAGACACACCACACACTCACCACGTCCACACTAAACAAAGATCCCCCATATAGCCTTAACAGACTGTAGGGGCAAGTGCTTCTAGCGAGCACCTATGAAGACCGGAACGGTACACGAGGGGGTGGGTGGCCAGCACCACGCCCGACCGCCTTTGTCTCCCTAGTGGCAATGTTTACACACTGCACCAGGTACTCATTTCAGGCTGAGTCGACCTAGGGGAGGCCCGGGACCGGTTCAGATAATCGTCTCTGGTGTTGGCCGTGAGCGGGAATCGAACCCGGGTCACCAGGTTCATAGCGCAGCGTGTTAACCGCTACACTACCGCTCCCCACACACTCCACAAAGCACACAGACACACACACTCACCACGTCCACACTCCACACAGACATACACACACTCACCATGTCCACATTCCACACACTCGCCACGTCCACACCACACAGACACACACACACCACACACTCACCACGTCCACACTCCACATACCACACAGACACACACACTCACCACGTCCACACTCCACACACCACTCAGACATTCAAACTCACCACGTCCACACTGCACACACACGCATGCAATCACACAACACCACACAGACGGACACATGCAGACCATGTCTCAACACTAAACACACGCACACTCCCACAAAACCACGCAGACACGCACACCACATCCAAACACCTAAATCCATACAACCACAAATGCACACGGACGCGTGCGGAAACATGTGCATGCTCCCAAGCCATGCCACCCCAATGTGTGTAACCAACACAAAGGTTTCTGTAATTGATAAGTAACTAATGTGCTGAAAAATGTAACCGAGAGCCACTGACCGACCCATGGTCAAGCAGATTAAAGGTGAACAACCCCCTCAGCGCTGGGTGGCTCTGAGTCTGAGTTGTGGGCCCCCTGAAGGGACCCTCAAAGATCTCGACCCCTAGGCTGGGGTCCTCATGAGATAACGCTCTGTCCTTCCCAGTGCCGTTACTCACTGAAGTCTGCTGAAAAAAGGCGACAGGTGGCTTCAAGGCACTGATGAACACAACAAGAAGAGGCTCTCTGATCAACAGAGAAAAGCCAAAAGTAATTTCCTGCTCAGTTGAGTACTGAGAAGGGTTCTCATCTCCCATTTAAAGCCCTGAGCCAATCGTGGAAATTCCACATCCCCCTACGCTGGGGTGAATCTATTAATAAAACACACGGTTGAATTCCCCATAAAGTTGTACTCATTATGTCGAACCCAGAGATATGATGGGCTGAGTTAACCCCCAACCAGGATTTTAACCGCTGAGCCACATCGCCAGTATATCGATGGACACGACAGAAACTTGCAGGTATAACACTGCAAAAAGAAAAATTTGCAATGCAATGTTGCATATTTATTCGAAATTTGCTCCATCGCAGAACCATGAGAGATGACGTTCGCTTGGGCAGCCCTTCGTCTGGCAATAGACTGAATATGGCCGACGATGACGACAGTGATAATTGTGATTTACTCTTCCAGAAAAGCCTCACTGAGCCTCACAAACTGTTTTCACGAGGATACTGCATTGGGATGTGTAACCAATTCCTTATTTTAAGAGAGAACCCGCATGTACATGGTAATAAATGCCTGTACAGATCCATTTGCTGTACTCCCATCTCCTTGCCCAGTGAGTTTTGGATTCTCGCAAACCTGTGCGAGCCACCAATCATTGCCTCGAAATATAAGTAAATTACAGGTGTGCGCTACCATGCCCGGCTATAGTTTTTTCATCTGATAAAAAGTGGCTTTGTACTTAATTTGGCCTTTTCCGGCACTGAGGACAAAGATTGGGCACTCAATCACCTGCACAACAAAGGGCAAGCCCTTGTGTTTGTTGTAGGAAAGTTCCTTAAAGGACAACTAAAGCCCTCTGCTGTCACTTGTGAGTCATTCACCAACTGACAACTAATCTCTGCTTTCATACTTAGTTATGAGAAAGGAAAAAGTAACACTGTGTGCCTCGGAGCTGATATCACAACAATGATATAACTAACTCGCAGCACCTTGTGAATCCACTGCTCGACGATAGCCTGCCCATACCGTGTCAATCATGGCGGCTGTTTGACCATACTTCACCACGCTGGTAAGTGGAGGTTGTAAAGTGGTAGCTCAGGACCGATTCGTATATCACTTGCCAATGATGTTGCCATGCTGCCAATCAACGTTACCATTATGTTAAAATTTGAAGAAAAACTAAACACATCATATCAACAATGAAACACATATGTGTGTGCACCACACAATAAAAATACGACCTTGCAAAATCTGGCACAGCTGAGCTGCAGACACAGCGAGTGATGCAGAAAACAGGTCGTGTGCCGTTGCAAAAGTTAATGTGGGGTTGCGTAAGTTTCACTTCTAGCGAAGAACAAAATAAACGCTCTCTCTTTCGTTCGTGGGAATTACAAATCAAAAATAAATAATAAAAACATAATAAACCCATGAGGACGCCGTGTTTCCTTGGAGCGTTGGGGCTGTGCCATTGTGGTTGATTTATATTTCTGACGCATTTGAAATATGAAATTTTTATATATATAAATAACTCGTTAAATTCTGGTCGTCTCGCGAAAAAAAATCCGTGCGGTTTTCGTTCTGCGTGGATAAGCATGTGGCGACAGAGTACAGCAAGACCCCAGTTCACAACAAAAACCTCGTGAAGAAACCCACCCCTGCTGACGGGCAGCCATCAATAATTGCGCTAGTAACTTCTCCAAAAGTGACACCTGCATCAGATTTTTGGCTTCGGAAAACTGTAGAGGGTAACTCCCAACGTGTGCACGTGTGCGAGCGGGCACAGCCGGCGCCGCACGTTAAATTAGGCAGCGTGGCACATGGTGTTGACTGCTCTGCGGTGCGTTTTACGTATCGCAATTACTTATTCGCACGAGCTTGAAAAACACGTCAGGCCATAAGCCGGAGCAATGACGAACTCGCAGCGCGTTTTCTACCACCGGTTATAAATGGCAGCGGGGTGCGTCGGTGGGAATCGCTGCCCTTTGAAGTGCATTCCCTAGGAGCACCCTTCAGCGGCAGACGGGAGGCCAGCGGGGTTCCGCGCATGCGCAGCCACCTTTCAACTCTCTCCCCAAACCCCCCAGAGGGAAAAGGTGAATGACCCACCTGTACGCACGCCCCTCTCTCGCGTTTGCGAGCGAGAGCCTGCACTCGTTGTGCGTGCACGTCAGTGTGCGCACCACAAACTGCCTTCCACCCAGGCGACCTGTGTTCAATTCCTGACCGTGAGCAACAGAAGCCAATGATATCTCACGTTTAGTTTACCCCAGATCAACTGAGAATTAAAATTCGTAAAACGATTGGGAATTGGCAGGTGTATGACTGGCCACACTACTCTGTCTGCTTTTTGAGCTTCAATAGGTGCTAGCTAACAGCACTTTCCCCATGAGACTCCTGTGGGCTTATGTTTAACCAGGAAAGTCCCACAGAGACTGAAGATTATATATTTTTTCATGTAATTGGGATGGTCCTGTAATTTGGATGTTTGGCCAATGCCATTAACGGGTATTTGGCTCTGTTTGTCAGGAAGTACCGGAAGAAAACCCACACATTCGAGAGGATAACACTCAAAGCTCCACACAGACAGATTCAGGAATCAATTGTTGTACTTCCATCCCACAGCCACTTTGCAGCCAATCCTGATCGACTTGGTAATCCCAGAGGCATTCTCTCAAACCGAGTACCAACCCGGCTCAACTGAAGAAGTTGTATTTGAAATTGTCGCCTGCACTGTACCCCACTCTCAAGGCGAACTCAGAAGAGAAAAGGACACAAAAAAAGGAAGTAATCCCAAAAATGCAAGTCTGTTGATCTCTTTTGCTCTAACGACTAAAACAGACACCAGCCCTGCCACCCCCAAACTGCCATTTCTCACCAGCCCGCCACTTACCCATTCCCACCCCCACAGCTACCAATCACCAACACACCCGACCCACTGCTCACACCAAACCCCCCCACCCCACACACTCCTCCCCCCACGCCAACCCAGGGAGCCCCGCATCATCACCTGCTCCGGGGGCTGCGTCTGTCGCATTTTGATGATGTCTTGGATGATGCGCTTGAAGAATCGGTTGAGCCGATTTTGACGTTCGTTGGGCACCAGGTGCATCAGTGGAATCATCACCGACGGGAAGGCGACTGTATGCACGTGCAGAAACGCAATGCACGCGCGCACACGCGCGCAAAGACAAAGAAACAGGGAGCGTGGGTGAATGGCGTTCGCGTGCATGAGAGCTCGAGAGAAGGCAAACACAAGCAGCGACGCGCGCTCGCCGCACTCGTTACCGACCGTCCGCGGCCACTGCCACGGCCACCATGGAGCAGGGAATGTCCACGGCACGGGTCACAATGTCCCGACCAAAAGTGTGATTAAAGAAGCCATTAGGTTTATAGCTGGGACGATACATCAACTCGATCAATAGATCAACGATTTGTTTTATAGCAAATATTTTTATTGTGAATTACTTGGGCCCATTTACATGTGGTGGCCATCCTCACATCCTGCCTCCCAAAGGCAGGAAACCCCCTGCAATGATGTCATGGGAATTCGAGGGCGTCATCGCCTTGGCCGAAAAGGCTTACAGATTTAACACTTTGGTTTTTACCGTGAGATTACTGGCAATGACCCTTTGATCAATTTGGCCAGTTTTCAAAAGGCTGAGTCCCTTGCTAAATTTGTATTCATATCGGATAACCTTTACCAGCGCTAAGGTAACCACCCGCCACAGACAGATAGGCAGAGCTTCCACATTAATGCTTTCGACCTTAGTTGGAAGGCGTTTACAAAATAAATCAACGCGCTCGGACCACAACGGCCGCAGTGCTCGGATCACCACGACGCACGGACGAGGAACATGGTGAAGCGGAAGAAGGTGAAGTTGAAGAAGAGGTGGGCATGGCGCACGAACGGGTCATCGGGGTTCCTCTGCGAGTCCACCTGCATGCCGAACGCTACGCTTGCGATTACGTCCATGCTGTAGCAGCCGAAGCACCTGTGAGATGGGATGGGGGGGGCAGCGGCACGTCCCAGGCACACGCGCACGCACATGCACGCGCGCATACAAACACACACGCGCGCATACAAACACACACGCACGCACTCCATGTCGCTTACCGGTGTTGCCGCTGTCCCATTACCTCTCCAACGCACTGTGTCCCTCTAGTTGTGGCCATGTGTGAAGAACAAAACCACGGCACTCAGGAGGAGAGGTCATCCACGTTCATGAAACCTATTCCACTGTTGAGAAATTATCTCGGGCAGCAACCGGACACACGACTGGCCGAGATTTAATTACGTCCGATACATTTCTGCGTACTTTTTGCCAAGGTTATTTACGTGTCAAAACTTGTATTCGTGGAACCTGCAAACTGCTGTGCTTGTGCCCTAGCTCAATCTCTAATCCTAGTTTCAAAGTTTCCAAGATCACTCATTTATTTAAGGCCTCTTCTATAAGAAAGAATTTGTACCTGACATAGCTTAATCAGAAAAATGTGGGATTCATTTATGCGCATAGTACAACAAAACAAATTTAGCAAACACATCTCTGGTCAATAACAATGGATTAAAAAATCACACACGAGTAAGCTCCCCCCAACCCAACCCTCCCCTCCCTCCCCAAAAAAAACTTCTCAAATATTTCATCAACTTGTCTTCCTTCACCACACAAAGTGGTGGGAAATTCAATCCAATGAAATAAAATCCAAGTCACGGTGTGGCGAGAACCCACCGAGACCAAATGTCTCTCTTTCGACAGAGACCTTCGGTTCAAAAGAGGAAAAACACACGGGCATAGGGTTTGGGCTTCAGCGAGTGGCCAGGAAGTCCCTTGTAAGGTGGCGGCGGCGGGGGGTATCGAGGGAATGGCGACGTGGTCCCGAATCGGCGAGGCCAGGGCTCCAGGGAGAGGGCATTTGACCTCGCAGCACCCAGCAGCGTTGGAGATTTAATTTCCTCCCGTGTCTGCTTACAACTCGCTGAATAACAGTCGCCGCTCCGTTGCGCGTAAGCAGATTTTTTTTCTTCTCCCCGCGTTCAATTTAGAACGTGCCACGCACCAGATTTTTGGCGTCACAAAGGCGCAATGGATTTAGATCGGACTCATTATGTCCGAAGCAACCTCGCCGACTCGCAAAATCACTTGCTCGCAAATGATGTTTGCGCAGGTAAATTGAACACACCATTAAGCGGTGCTTGTTAAATTAATCACGTGTTACTTATGCACACACCATGGTAACAGATAAACGTAGAAATCTGGCTGCCATTTAAAATGTAAATGTGGAAGGTTTAATAATGCAAAGAATAAAACAAACCAATTACTTGAAAAAAAATGCAATCTAGGGGGATATTAAATTTCAACGATTACTCATTCATTTGCAATTTTGGAAAATTACACATGCGCACACGCTCACTCACAAATACACATTGCAGTATGCAGGCCATTTGCGTATATATGCTGACAGTACTGGTAAAAAGAATAAGGTATTTGTGAACGCAATCCATTAATGATCGCCCCACCCATCAATCAGCCGCTTAATGCATCATTCACTGAATGGATGCTAACCTCCAGACATCGAAGGCCTTGCCCAACCGTGCGTGAGCCTCCAGATTTTCCAGCAGAGTGTCCGTCGCTTGGTTAATGAGAGGCGACATCTGGGAATGATGCGGCCAAGCACATGACACGGCAGGGCGCACGGCGCCCCCAAACACAAGCGGGTATTACAAAGGGCCCAGCCGCCCGTGATAATAAACCACCAAAAGCCCGAGCAAAAAAATCACCTTGCGCCACCGCACTGTAGCCCAATGGCACCGACGCTCGGTAAAATTCTACGACGCACAGCCGGCGCTCCAGACAGATCGCACCCACCGCATCATAAAAACACGTGGCAAAATCGCGCCGTACAAAGACAATTCAAGCACGGTCCGTTTCGGTAAGGGCACGCTGCCATGGTGTAATTGGTCAGCGAATTGCACTCGCAATCCAGAGGTCACCCGTTTGAACTCCCGGATTGGCAGTTAAAGCAATAGGCGACCTGTTTAAATCACGCCGCCTCTGTCCATCCAGCAGCATAAGTGAGCACACGACAGCCAGTCGATTGGAGGGTCGTGTGACGGTAGAGTGCTCCCGCCTCTTCTGAGATGGCTGGCCAGTGTGGAAGAGTAGGCCAAAATACTCCAGAGAGGGGCTCACTCTCTCGGGCTCCTTTTAGCTGGCAGTGGTGTGAGCAAGTCAAATTGCAGGGCTGCACCTTTACGGGTCTTGGCATGCTGATAACTGCCCACTGTTAAAAACATAAATTAGGTATCAATCTAGATTTGAAGTTGTCGTGACTGCAGGGATCCATACTCTTTGGTTCTTACGGTAAAGCCACGTAGGTAGAAAATTAAATAAATTAAATCACGACGTTTCGGGCGTAACACAAGCACCCGTCATCAGGTGGGACAACCACAGCAAAAAACAATTGCTGAAACGTCGTGATTTAATTTATTTTATTTTATACCTACGTGACTTTACCAAAAGAACCAAAGAGTATAAATTAGTCTTCTTGATTCTTTCGGTAAAGTCATGTAGAATGAGAATAAAACAATAAAACAAAATAAAGACAATAAATTTCTCACGACGTTTCGGCCACAACACAAGTAGAATGAGAATAAAACAATAAAACAAAATAAGACAATAAAAATCTCACGACGTTTCGGCCACAACACAAGTAGCCTTCTTGTGTTGTGGTCGAAACGTTGTGAGAATTTTATTGTCTTATTTTGTTTTATTGTTTTATTCTCATTCTACGTGACTTTACCGAAAGAACCAAGAAGATGAATCCTTGCAGTCACGAAAGCTTTAAATCGAAAAGAATAAATAAGGTATGTGTGTAACTTCCATAGTTTTGTGTGCTACGAAGATCAGCTCTCATAAATAAATAAATAAACACACCACGTGCCACTGTTGCAATAAGAGACAAGATTCCCATCAAAGGTCCACGGCTTGCAAAAACCACCGTCATCAGCTCCCAGCAAACGGCGCGGCACAGATGGCGCTGTGATAAGCGCACACGTCGCTCCCCGGGCAGGCCACAGCAACGACAACAACAACAACAGGCACTGTACTGTTCACAAGCGTGACTCTCCCTTAAGACACCAGCTGCTTTATGCGATTTTCAATAAAAAAAATTACTAATCGTGTTTTGTAAAAGGAGCACCGTGGTTTAAAGTGCGGAAATTGTCTCATTCAAGGACTCTTTGTTCGTGGGATATATTAGAGGCAGTAATTGCCGTGAAAATCATGTTAGTGGGCTTCTACAGGTGGTTCTTTCATCAATAAATGATGCTGATGAAACAACATATTTCACTGACATTTTTTAATGAAAAAAACTGAATTTTTAAAATATATTCTGCAGAATATGCAAACTTCCATTCATATATAATAAGTGTAATAATTTAATGCCCCCTGTCAATCCACTGATGAAAGAATGCCTCCCAATGCTTTGTTGTTCATGGGAGCTCTCTGACCATACTTCACTGTGCTGGTCCACATGGGTTCGAGAAGAGGGCCCAGGACTGGTTCAGATATCACTTGCCACTAATGTTAGTCAAGGTCAGGAATCAAACCCAGGTCGCCGGGTCAATAGCGCAGTCCACCAATGATTGTACCACTGCTTCATCCGAACCAATATAACCTGCGTTAAATATCAAAACACTCGCTTCATTCCCATAATATAGAATGCACATAAAACACACGCACAACAACACATTTGAAAACTAAGTTCCTGCAATAAGCATGCTGCCACAGCAGTGCAATGGTTCGCACACTAGACTTGCAATGCAGATTCCATCTCCTGGTGCGACAGATGTAACAGCGAGCCAAATTTTTTCAAACCCCCGCACCGCCACCTCTGTCCACCCAACGATTTAAATTGGTTCATCACTGTCAGGCGATCGGCAGGTTACGCATGGTCGGGTAAAGTGTGGGTACTCCCACCTGTTCCAAGACGTCTGGCTAGCGTGCAAGACCAGGCCAAATAATCTCCGTCCAACGGTGGAGCATTAACGATCTGGGCCTCACCGATAACGAGAGTTTGCAACGAGCTAACAAAAATAAATAATCAAAGACGTTAAACGATTTCGGCCATCGAGATCTACTGTAAAATCAGCTGATGTGTAGAGACATTGCCTCAAGGGGGAGGCCGGAGCGGGTGGGCGGTAGGGCGAGCGGACGAGCGGGACGTGCGAGTGAGTTGGCGTGCGAGTGAGTGGGGGTCAGGACACCTCTCTCATCTTGGCGGCGCTGAACGTGGGCGTGAGGACGCTTCGCACGTGCTTCCACTCCTCGTCCCGGAGCATGAAGATGCTGTCGCTCATGGGCTTGGTGGACAGCGAAAACTCCTGTGCTCGCCACGCACGACAGCGGGGGTTAATGAGATTTCAGCGTGGCCATCGCCACGGGAAATATGATGGCGGCGGAAGTCGGTCGTGCCACAAGTAAAGTTTCAAAATAAATATTCACCTTGAAAATTTGGCCTCATTGTGTTTTACACCGCCTGTGATCAAATCACCCAGAATGCACCCGTCATCATCACATCTTGGAAGCTAAGCAGTTTGAGCCTGGACAGGGCTAAGATGAGCGACCACCAGCATGTCAGGTCAATATAGGCTGCTGCGGGGCTACGTCATCTACAGTGGACAGTATGAGCAAAATAATTGTTGTACTGTACTATGCTCCAAAGCCTATGCGTGCCCCACCTATGCCAAGCCATATTGACGAACGTGGTGAAATATGATTAATAACGCCCAAGACTAATATGACGTGGAGGGGGAGTTATCATCCAGCAGTGGATTGACAAAAGAGCTGCACGCGTATTTTAGTCTATACCTGTAGTTCGCTGCTGGCAATGAGTTTTCGGTGATTAACGTGCCGATATACACCCTGACTAGTCCTCTGCCGAGGACACTCGTGGCTGTCGTAAGATTTTACAGGAGATATAGCGCTGCACAGTAACCGCCCCTTGTCATCTTGCAGAACGACTGGCTGTCCCCTCCAGCCTTGTCATTTAAACAAATCATTAAATCTCAAAGGACTGCTTCCTGCAGAGAAAAACTAAACTAATTAAATACAAAAATCACGGGGAGAGAAAAAAAACACCACGACTACAAGAATCACTTGCTAGTTTTTATGTTAAATATCTCAATAGGAGTGGTGCCATGAGCTACAACTTTATTTCGATACTCATCTGGTATGCACAGTTAAACTAAAGATACACGAGATTCATAACACTTATTATAATCATACTTTCCAGGCCCTCTGTCAATCTACTGGGGCATGAAGGCCTCGCCACGCTGAGGGGAGTGGGTCGGTGGTTGTTGGCGGTCGAGGGAGCCTGGAACCGGTTTAGAGATCACTCGCCACTGATGTTGGCCATGGCTGCGAATTGAATTCAGGTTGTTGGATTCATAGTGCAGGGCGCTAACCACCGCACCACTGCTCCACCCCAGTTGACATTAACGTCGACATTATTGCAAGACACAAAACACACTTTACCATCATTGCAAATATTTTGAGATGCACCTGAATGCAGATGCTATACAAATACACAAACTGTAAATTACTTTGTAGGAAATCACACTTTACTCCCTAGGTTTGATGCGTTTTTGTTAGTTGTGTTGATTATATAATCTAGGGAGAAGGCGAGCGGCTCAATTCAGATTCTGAATAAGTTCCTGGCGCATACACCGAAACGTCGGACACTGTGCCAATCAACACACAATCCAACCATGTATTGCACTGGTAAGAGTTATGAACTCACATTGAAATTATCGTGAAAGTACAAATTATAATAAACCCAGGCACGTAGACATTAATGCATTGGCGCGTGCACGCGTGTGATCGAGGCTTGTTCGTCAGTGCAGCTGGCAAGGTGACGGACACTCACCATGCGGTTCACGAAGTTGTTGAAGTCTTTCACCAGGATGTGCTTCAGCATGTCGGGGTCAGCCACCACCAGGTGCATTCGCCGCCCAAAGTAATACCTGGGCACGGGCGAGATGACGTCGACACAGCCAAGGCCGCAGCTCACACAGCCCTTACACGTTTCCTTTGCTCTGCTACTGGCCTAGCACAGCAGGATTGCGTCAAAAGGGCCAAAATCAAGATGTCTTGACGGCCAAAAGCCGTCGATGTCACTGCACCTCGCCAATGCTTTTAACCTTCCACCACATCCTGCAGCTGCTGGACAGTAGACACGTGACCTCCAAGATCTGCCCCCAACAGCCTTCCCTTGGTCACTAGGCTCAAAAATACTCAAGGCTGGAAGTGTCCCGCTGAGTAAAACTGTCATTTACTTCTACTAATTGGTAGGCACAAAAGAAAGATTGAAATAAAAACATCTCACCACCAACCTTTGGGCATGTGGCTATTTTGTCTCTCGGTGATCCTGCCTACCAGCTTTTATCTGCAAGGACCTCTGTTTTGTTATGGCTGTGTGTCTATTTGCTGTGATTGACTCCTGCCCACTCGTGTCTCTTTTTTCTTGGGGCACCTGTTGGTGTATGTCCATGTGTCTCTCTCTCTCTCCTCTCTGACTCTGTCCACCGAGGTTCTATCTGCTAGGGCACCTGATAGATTTTGTGTCATGCGCCTCTCTGTTCTGGGGGTTGGCTCTGCACCAGGTTCTCTGTACTACAAAGGATGGTTGGCGGCGGAAGCCAAGAGAATAGCCACCGGCCTTCCGGCTGCACACTTTCTTACACCTACTGTTGAGAGTAAGGAATGGGAAGGTGACTCACTTGGGGATGACCAGGCGAGACATCGTGGCTCGCTGTCCAATGGTGGAAGCTGCCTCGGTTAATGTCCACACAGTAAATATGAGAACAAAAAACAACCTCTACAATGCACTGTATTATAAAATGAATTTTCTAAACATAAGCCAAGAATTGCTTATCTCTGCTTGTTCTCTCCGATCTGGAGAGAGGCCACTGTCCACAACATTAGTCTGCTATACGTTTTGCATCTTGAGAAGTAATTAATGACTATGGTGAGGTTTTTTTTTTTAAACCAGAGATTGTACATCGTTTCCAAACATAAAGTCTATTATGTTTATTTATTAATATAGACAAAACAAATGTCCACGTGAACACGTGGGTCTGAGATTGTCTTTGTTTGCGGTGAAGGAGGAATGATAACTCACCCGCACACTTTCCCATGCTTTTCCACCAGACTGTCAAGTCCCTCCAGGAATCCCTGGGGCAGAAAAGCTTTACTAGGAACTTAGAAGTCATTGATACAATGGAAATTACCATGAATTATAATTAATTTGCATCGTACACTCATGTTGTTTGCTTTTATTAAAGGTATGCACAGCTTCAATTTTTCTTTTATCTAGATTAAGGTAAATTGCCTGAATAGATATATTTTTTAAAAAACCCACTGATGTAAACGATGAAGAAGTGCAACACATCCAACTTGCAAGATAAAAGCACACTCAACAGTAAGGAGATATTCTAAAATGTGTATTAGCACGTTTTAATTAACATTAATTTTAAATCTGCAAAGTAGTGTTGTAAACCAGAGTATGGTTTTCAGAAAAGGTCCATTTACTTTACAAGTTCAGCTTGCAATGCAAGAGGAAATAGGGGAGAGTGGTGTCACAGCGGTTAGTGCTCTGCACTATAACGCCAGTCAACCCAGTTCGATTCCTAGTCACGAATAACATCAGTGATGGGTGATATGAACCCGCACTTATTCAACCTGCAGTGACCAACACGGTGAAGTATGGTCAAAAATTCCTCATGACCTGCATGTTACATAACATGGGGAGACTTTCATCAAGCAGTGGCTTGACAATGTGCTGCAAATTACTACCCAGTGTGATGATAAAGATAGCTTGCTCAGGAAAGGGCATACGTTCCATATGTGCACTATTTTTTCATGTGAGGATGCAATGGAAAAAAAACTATCAACTGAAATCGTGGATAACTTAGCACCTGCTGGGTTGAAGAATGATGGCCGTTATCCCGGTTGTGAAAAGGCTTTGTTTTTGTCAGGAGGTCCCATCTTTAAAATGGAACCATTTTCCACCACCAACGTGAGCTTGTTTTCCAGTGAAATATAAATATATATTTCAAAGGATTTTATTGCTTATCAAACCCGTGAAATATTGTCAAGCGTAGCCGATTACAGTACCTGAATAATTTATATGAGTGAAAAAGGCAAAATAACATGTATTTTTGATATGCAACAGCTGCAAAAAAAATGAAGGGCTGATGTAATAAAAATGTGTTCGAGGAGTGAAATATCTGGTCGCGTTTACAGAACGCTGTAATCCCTGTGCATATTAAATTAAACCATTTTTGTGTTTACCATTGTGTCACGCGTAATTACTGCCATTAATTGTCTGCGTGGTGATTAGTGTGACTTGCCTTCCGGAACCAAAACATGTTTCCGAGGAAAGGCATTGGGCGTGGATGAGGCACACCCAGCTCCTTCAGAAGCCCATAGGGATAGATGGAGTACCTACAAAACAAGACAAAGATCGCCTGCGGTAAAGCCTTTTGACTGACTGTTGGTGCAAGCAGTGTTAGCTGGCACCAATTGAGGCTATCACAAAACACGAGGAGGTGGGTGACGAGCAGCACCACGCCCAGCCGCCTTTGTCTACCCAACGCTTATGTTTACACACCGGGGCACCAGTTACTGAAATGAGACCGAGTCGAATTAGGGGAGACTCAGGATCGGTTAAAACATTCATCACGGCACGACCGTGCCCCCACACAACCCACACAAAAACTACACGGGTACACACACACACACAAGACACACGCACGGTGAGATCCCGAACATGAAGCAAGAAGCCATGATTGAATGAGTTTTGTATTTATTTTTACCAGGTATTTAAACCAGGTAAACTCGTTGAGACCGGACATTTCTTTCTCAAGGGAGACCTGGGAGGGAGGTACATACAGTGCATCACACAGAAACAAAAATAATTGTACATGAAACAGAAAAACTGGTTTCTGAACACAAAACAATTCAAGATGCAGGAATCACACAGATGACAAATTATGCATAATAATATAAATGACAAGCTATATATATTCTGAAGGCAAATCTTAACAGCAAAATTCCCATATTTAAAAATAGTTTTAGAATTTAACATGACACTTTGCATCTTAGGTTACGCCGATTTTCACAGTTATTAGATTGGCTATGCCTCGTGATGAACTATTTATAGACGTCTTGAATAGACTATCCAATGCAGACGTATTGTCACACGTGTAGCACGACGAAAGCTGTCCGGCCATAGAGATGCGGTGACCACAAACATGCTCATTCACATAAAAGCGTAAAGCGAAGTGGAACACAGGGTGCATGCCCCTTAAGACGTTTACACCACATCATCAATAACTGGCATGAAAGTGCACACAGGTTGGTAAAGAGTCGTTTCAGTAAGTCAGATCTATGAAAGGTTAAAAAAGCATCTGCTTTATAGAACACCGCAAATTTCTGACTAGCAGATATATATTTTGAAACGTCCTGGATTTCTATACTGTAATGGTAAGAGCCAATACGTGAAATGGCGGTGAAGTTGTTGTGGTGATGCAGTGGTTAGCGCACGGTGTTGTGAAGCCGATGGCTTGAGTGCGATTTCTTTGCCACGGCTATCATCAGGAGCGAGTGATATCTCTGGTCGTGCACACTCCACCCACCTCCTTTCACCAATCCACGCGGAACACCGTGGTGAGTTATGGTCAAACCAACCTGACGGCCAACACAGCAGAGGGTGGCCTTCATCCAGCAGTGGATTGACAAAGGGCGGTAGAATATTACCAATCATACCACAATTCTTTGTTCTCATGATGAAAATGTGAACAATGATGACCTTGCTTAACTGGTTTTTTGCATCACCAAAGGGAAACCGAAGCATATTTGGGGGATGAATGCTTGTCACTAAAGAAGGCTATTATTGCTGACACCACAATTTTTCTCTTGAAATGGACACATTCCTTATATCTCACCATTCGATTAAGAGTTAACACCCTGGTGAATGTCTGGTAATATACAATACTGTACATACTGTTTAATTATCAGCAAAATCTGGGAATGGAAGCATGTCAAACAACCGACAGTGTGTGTGTGTGTTTAGGCCTCTATGAACACTATCTAGAGCACTGCAATTTCATTGCAAAAGCCAAACAGTTGCGCATGTTAGGCTACCAGGGTCACATAAGGAAGGCTAACATTAAACCGTGATGATTGTGAATACAAATAAAGGAAAATACATTTGGCAGGGAGTGGGGATGCAAAATCACTGACCAGACAACTTGCCCAATTATACCACGAGAGACTACGTGCATGACATGATCGGGTTAAGTAAAAGTGTTCACTTAAAATACAATTTGAATGTATTGGGCAGGGGTCGGCAACCTGCGGCTTCAGAGCCGCATGCGGCTCTTCAAGGACTGCTTCGTGACGTTATTTATTAAAGACCACCATCTACTATTCACATGCATTGCGGCTCTTGAAATATTGAGGGGTTTTTTACCGAATTCGAAAAAAAATGGTTGTTATTGTTATTTTGTTTTTTCCAACCCCTGGTATAGAGCGTCTAAATATTATCAAGTCTCAACACACCGTACAAGATAGTGTGATAAGTACATCATGGAGGAAGAAGAGGCACGTATATATTATCTTAATGTTTATATCACTACTGTACAGTCAGTCACAGAGAATGTACAAGAGACAGGTATTTAGCTTTGAGTTAAACTGACGGCTGGGGGGAGGAACTTGTGGAACACACGAACAGAGGAAAAAGTGGAACCGGTTTCGTCTTTCTGGGTCCCATCGGCAGAGCCAGGCGATTGGTGTGCAAACTCTAAGAAATGTAAAAAAAATGTCAGTTCAAAACAACAGCCAAGGTTGATTAAAGCCCCCCCCCGTGTGGCAACGGAGAAAGGAGGTGGGGCACCAGAGGTCTCGCACACACACAAACAGGACACCGCACCAACAATGAATATCGTCTCCTCGCTGCAGCTTTATGAATGATTGTACTCTGCGGTCAGGATCCCCTGGTTTATGACCTCAGGGTTGCTGCTGAGAGGGAGAGAGTGCGGAGGTGAAAGGTGGGCAGGCAGACCTGGCCATCTCCCCCACGGTGTCACCGGTGGCCACTGCTGGGGGCCGCCCTCTGTGCCTCAAGGTCATTGCGCCTCAGGGCAAAGTGCTCACGTGACTTTGTCAATTATTCATCATTATCATCAGCTATGATCAAATCCACTGCTGGATGAAAGCCATCTTTCGCAATCCTGCAAATGTAATGATTCAACAGGAGCCGCACACTAGCCGATTTCAACACTCCATCTTCACGTTAGAATTCCTTTTGGAACTTGTTTTACAATCCTTGGCTGGCCCACTGATTATTCGTGGCCATCAGTCATCACAACCATTAGCCATCACGTGCCCTGACCAAGTTCACTCACAGTCCAGTACTTCACACTTAAAGTACTTTTTTAAACACAATTACTCCACGGTAAATGTGTGACCACTTTAATTCCCCCCGAGATAAACAACAAAAATGTGTCAGAATGCTTGTCTACACAAAGCAAGTCAAACTGAAGGCGACGGTCTGACTTTGTTTACAGGGTGATTCAAATGTCGAGATCACAACCGATTATAATTCATTTTTATAGTACCTTGACTTAAAGCTTTCGTGACTGCTGGAATTCATATTCCTGGCTTTACCGAAAGACCCAAAGAATGTTACAGTACCCTTTCAACACGTGAACAAATACTGCATTGCGGCGTTGTGAACGCGATGGCTCCATATCTTACCGAGGAGAGTGTTAACATATTTACTAAGCGTACCGAGATAGGTGGGAGAAGCGAAGGTATGGATTTTACATTGAAACGTCTTCATGCCCCCGCGGTTCCTGCCCCACTGTTTTAGTGGGGTGTCTATATACGGATCACGCGTGCGTAGCCCTTTAAACACGTGCAGGCGGTGACTCTCTTAAGCTCATTATGCTGCCCGTAATGCGTCCCCCGCCGACTCACGTCAGCACTCATTAAGCCCCAACACGCGCGCACCGTTCGTCATCAGCCACGGTCAATCCACTGCTGGATGAATGTCTCGCACGACTGCGATGTTTACCATCCTCCTGGCGCCTTCACACACGAGCTGATCTCCATCCATCGCCCCAGTGTGCGAGAGCACTTTGGCAACCCACCCACTTGCTGGATAGAGGTCTCGAGCAGTATCAGCCACAGAAAGGTGATGGGAGGGGGGGGGGGGTGTTTAACCATACTTCACCACACTGGTTCGACTGGGGATAGTGACCAACTTAAGTAGAGGTTTGGCCTAGGCGGAGGCCACTCTCGTCACGGACGTCGCGCCGCACGTAATGGCACTCGAATGCACGAAGAGGTCAGGGCGACCGTGCGTTTACCAGCACAGAAGCCCCAAGAGTAGAAGCAGCAGCCATCCCGTGGGGCCACCGATCCACCACCCTCCCTGGGCTGCCTCCTCCGCCGCCGCCGCCGTGTCCATGTTTTCGGTAGGGCGATTCCAGGCGAGACCGAGGTCCCGGTTAGGAGCAGGCCAATCCTCGCGGCGACCTTCACTAGCCCGCCTCTCCCCCCCCCCCCGTTGCCTGCTGCAGTGTTGTGTCCGCCGATGACTTAATACGCCTGACGTCGTCTTTAACGCGGTCTAACTACAAAGGTGTTTCCTCTGCTGCGGTCGTAACCAGCCGTCCGTGCTGTGCAAAGTGTTTCGTAATCTCTCATGGCTAGGTACGTCGGTGGGGGTATGCGGGCATGTGGAGGTGTGCGCTAGTTCTGTATTGCTGCTGTTGCTGCTGCAGCTGCTATGCGTCGCAAAGCTTCGCCTGTACACTCCGCTGTACGGTGCTGTTGTTATTTGTCTACGGCCTAATAACTTTACACCTGCATACCAGCACTCACGAACGCGGTGAGGTATGGTGAAATAACCCCCACAATCCAGCAATGAACCGACAGTACACGAATCTAAGACAACGCGTTATAGAGAGAAATACTGCCTTATCCGAATACCGATAACCCAATCACCTATGTTTGATATATGTTCACCTACCACTAAGGTGTAACTATCTGCCAGTAATATTTTTGCCTACGAATACACTTTCTGCCTAACTGCATATAACGTTCGATAGCTTGTCTAGATACGCGGCAGTAACGACCTACAGATTATTACTTGCCTTACACCCTGCATAAAATACATGGTTTTATACCTGACTTTACCTGCTGTAAGTATACCTGAATATAATGTTGAATAGCTGGCGAATTACCTGTCAACGACCATCTCTACCGATATGAACTCGTTTGTATACCGGTCTGTGACTTGCCAATTAATCTTCGTATATCAGGAGTATATATGTGTGCCTATGTGTCAGCATGTTCACACCTGTCTGTCTGCCAGACGTGGATATTAGGATTCATGGGCTGTAATCACACGTGAAATGTGCTTGAGAAAGCGTGATGCTCATAAAATATAAGTACATGTTAATTTGTAACGCGTTTGGTAAGCACAGCAGCTGCTTTTGTAAATTCCATGCAGGCTAGGATTTGTTCTTTTGCGATTAATCATTTACGTTTATGATGCCCCAGGCAGGTCAGTGTGACGGAGAGTTTTTTTATGTCAGTCAATACTCTGTACCTTGAGCGAATGTGATCATTCATAATAATTCCATCAACATTGCTAAACAACATAATACAGGTGCTGCTATCTTGTTTACCAGCAAGGTGGGTGTGTACTCACACCACCATCATTATCAGACATGGTCAGTCCACTGCTGGATGATGTTTCCCCAATCTGCCGCTGTCTTAGACGATCCTACAATGTGATAATTCACCCGAATACTTGCACACTGAACTGATTTCATCGCTCCGTCTCCTCGGTGGATGTCCTCTCAGATGCCTTGTTTCTTGGCTGCCACTAAATAATTATTCCTGACTATGACTGCCATCAATTCCGTATGCTCACGTTTGTAATGCGTTTACAAACAACAATAGTCGTGTATTTCACTTGTCCTCAACACATGTCATCATCAGTCCACTACTGAATGAAGGCCTGTCCACACCATCCGTAATACAAAGGTAACTGCTTAGCTCACGGTACAAGACGTGAAAATCCGTATGTGCAGCACATATAAATTGAATGAGATCTACACTAATTATGGTTAAAAGGTTGAGCGGTGGCGCAGTGGTTAGCGTACTTAAGGTTCATCGAAACGTCGTGATTTATTATTTTTATTTTATTTTTCTACCTACGTGACTTTACCGAAATAACCCAAAGAGTATGATTTGTATTACTGGACGCGGTCTAACATCTGTGGCGAATAATATCTGAACCAGTCCTACCCCCTCCCCCGTCACCAACCCCGTGCAGACCAGCGTGATGAAGTATGGTCAAACAAACCCCATGATCCTACATCGCGTGAGGAGGCCCTTATTCAGTGGTGAATTGACAAAGGAGGGCCATATATTATTATTAGGCCCTATAATGATAGTTTAGGTGACTTTTATGTTCTTGCACCGATATTGCTCAAACCAAGTAAGTGATATAAACGCACCCATTCCATTGTATCCCAGAGATAAGCGGCCCGTTTTGTACGGGTCCACGCCTATAGGTGCCAACATTGATGTTTCTCGTGTGTGTGTGGTGCTGGGTCAGTCACCGGGCCATCACACGGCGGGTCAACTCTTGCTGCATGTGCAATACTACTATTGCCATTGCTTGTATTGAACGTTTTGTACTCTTTGGTTCTATTCGGTAAAGTCACGTAGGTAAAAAATTAAAACAACAAAAATCACGACGTTTCGGCCACAACACAAGTGGCTGAATAGAACCAAAGAGTATGGTTCCTTGCAGTCACGAAAGCTTCAAATCTAGAATTGAACGTTTTGGTTAATTTGCAACCTCGTGAGATAAGGCGCATGTAATAAAGTTAAATATATTATGTTCAAAAATAGAATCGTTTTAAAGAGTGTTGGATTTTTTGTTACCAGCAGTTTAAAAAAAAATACGTCTCTTTACAAAAGAGAATTAGGTTAACGTTTCAAGCCATGAGCCTGTGAAAGAACACTTTATTTGGTTATGTATGTCAACTTTATAATTGTGTTCGATTACATTATATAAATGTATCTTTGTGATGTTCCTTTAAGATTCATGGTTATTAACAGGTAAAAATGCAACACTGCAATTTCTTGCTCACGCCACTTCTAGTGAAAGGACCTCCACGTGAAAGTGCACTGGAGCGCTCTTCTAGAGGTTATTTGGCCTCCTCTTCCACGCTAGACAATCATATTGGAACAGGTGAGAGTACCCACATTTTACTCCACCACACGTGACCTTCCAATTGATTCACCGTGGTTTTCCCATTTATTATTCTGCCTGGACTGGGGTGGGGGGGATAAAATATACTTGCCCAATGTTTCCACTGCCACTCCGGGAAATCGAATATAACGGCGACCTTTTTGGAGAGATACAAAAAAACAATCGCGAGTGTTTGTTAAGCATTGTTTGTATAAAGGTACTAAAATACAAAACGACACCGAAATGCGAACTTTACACAGAGCACCGAGCTGTAAGTAAGCTACCTCATATACAGTATGTTCACATTCAGTTGTAATATGTACGAACGTAGGGTAGAAACAACAAATTAGGCAGACGGCTATAATTAAACTGTGGAAGAGAAGAGGGATTTAAGGTGGGTGAACAAACGAGGAGACTCGAATCCCTGCAGGGGCAAATGTTTACCTATAACACAGTGCTGGTCTCTAAGCGCCTCCGTCAGTGAGACTGCCCTCTGAGTACTGTGTCTTCACTGAGCTATAATTGCCACCCAAATGTGTATTTGTCATTCCCCCCCCCCCCCCCCCCCAGCTTGCGTGTGCATTTGTATGAGCAGCTGGGATGGGAGCAAATTTGCACGAAGAATGAATGTTCATCTGCTCACATTCTAGATTGTCATGTTCCATTGCCAGTTTACAGGCTCTTCAGTGATGTCATTGTATAAGTACGACATGGAATCGCACTATAAAATGCAGTCTCATAGACTGACAAATGGGTGTCGTGTTAACAAGATGAAGTTGATTTATCATGGATGTTATTTGCCGATACTTCACCACGATGGTCAATGCGGATTGGCGATGTGCAGGCCGAGTTCTGGTTCAAATGTTAATCGCCACTGATGGCTAGGCGTGGGAATATCAACTCTGTTTGCCAGGTTCATATTGCAGCGCTAAATCACTGCGCCACAACTCAAGTACGTGGATGGGAATGGTGATTCTCTAACAGCGTTAATTACAGAACACTGCCTATGGGTGGTCACTTGCTGCCTGCTGTGGGCTTGGGTCTCCTCTGGTGATGATTATGTGAACATTGTAATGTCCACGTGCCTAGCTGTTAAATTGTAAGAAAAAAAGTGTAAATAGTAACCCAATGAACATGCAATGTTATATTAACAAGTATGGGTCCTATTGAGATAAATAATTCGTGTACCAAGGTAAATTGTCCAGTGGATATGTTAATAATCCCCACTTCATTATCATCATCGACTGCCAACGCAGTCTTAACTGCTTGTTTACAAAGTTTCAAGTTAGAGCTCATCAGTATAAATAACGCATGATGCGGTTGATTTTCGTCGTTTGAAAACACATGGGCATATTTGTAGACTGTAGCTGTTTAGAAAAAGGTTATGATCCATATCAAGATTCCAGCTATTTTAGTTTGCAACTATGCAGAGAGTCAGTTTAACACAGTTAAATGATGACGTCACCCTGCTGCTCTATTTAAGACCGGGAGCAAGCGAGGGCTTTACCATTCTGGCGAATTGCCCGATGATGCTGGATGTAATTACCAGCGAAACGTCGTACTCAAACTGTAAATGTTGTGGATTCACTCTTCAACACACCGGTGGGCTAAAGTAGTGAATTATTTGTTTTTTGTCAACGTGACACTTTTTTTTGCTGATTGGCCGTGTCGGGTGGTGGAGGGTGGTGGAGGGTTACGCCACATTTATAAATAACGCGATCTAACCCAAAAACCTTTATTATGAATATGCAGAGAGTGCCATTTCTGATTTCCATACTCTAAATACCAAAATCGACCATATCATTATAAATGAGTCTAATAATGGAGCTGAGTCTGGCTCGTAGTTGTGTGGGTTAGTGCTTCTCAACCTGTTTCACTCCACGTCACACTTTCGAGCCTGCTCGATCTTCGCGGCACGCCAAACCAAACAATCGCTATGGCCCCGGGTGGGTGGTAACACATTGTAGCTGTGGCATTGCGCCGTGACCAATAGAGAGGGGGAGGGCGGGGATCGGGGGGGTGGGGTGTGGATCGGCCACTGAATGGCATGGTGAGTTTGTCCTAGCTTGCAAACAGTGAGGTTCTTTCCAATTCATAGAATACCGCGGCACACTGGTTGCGAGGCACCGGTGTGGGTGACCGCCTGTGCCTGGCAGGTGTTGTAGGCACGGGGCTGCAGGGTGTGACCACGAGATGGCAGTGCTGAGTGTCACCACCCCCTTGTTTGCGTGGTGTGGTGGGTTATATTGTCCAGATACCCCGATTTATTTCTATGTGAAGCCAAACACTCCTTCATGATAATGGCAACAAATCCGAATGTAGCACGACCCTTCTGAAAAATAGTCTTGAGATTGAGTGAGGCTCTCCTGGATAAATAAAGTGGTATAAATAACTTGCATTCATGTCGTTGTGCACATGCATACTCTTGTCGATTGCATGGCAACAACAGCGTCAGTCATTTCCTAATAGACGAACAGAATTCCAATATTTGGCCTCAGCAGATGCACCCCCCCCCCCCCGCACCTTCCTCCCACAACCTTTAATAAGCGCATCCGCACAGACTGTGCCCCTGATTGTGTTTTGTTAACCTTGAATCAATGAACGAGCGCATTTTTGGAATGTCGCGCATGGGCTTAATCAAACGCTCCTCCGCCTACTGGTCAGTGGATAAACTGCAATGGGGTGGGAGGAGAGGGGAGATGGAGTTATTGACACACCAAAGCACGGATACTTTATTAATGAATTAGAACCAGCAATTACGAACGCGTATGTTCTCTCAGTCGTGCTGTACGGCTTTAGGATGGGTTTTCAGGCTATACCCCGTGTTCGGCGCGATGTCTGATGCTTCACCCCCGACTGAATTAACTTCTCTAAGAATCTCCCAGCATAAGGAAGAAGCTCCCAACAGAATTAAGTTCCTGAAGAAGCTGCCAGCACGTGAGGCGAAACGCCGGACATCATGCCAAACAATACGCAGGGCAACGTGAAAAAACATCAGAGGGAAAAAACCGGCAAGTCTTGCAGGGCGGATCGTATGGACCCAGTGCCTGGGATTTGGCCCTCTTACAGATATGATTTGTGAGTTCTTGAGATTTTGGCATCGGAATGTGGAATTGAGATATATATTTTAAAGAGTATCACCACCCAACAATTACTTGAGCATGAAGGCTGTGACTTTTTGTAAAGGGTTATGCACATGCCTAACCGACAAATGGCAAGGTAGTTTTATAATATGTATATCAATAGCCTTACAGTTACCTCCACTCTGGAAAACACTACTCTTTCAACTCACACCATCATCATCACCACCACCCAAACGGTGAGGTCACTCATTCTCCTGAGCTACACCCAGTCTGGATTACAGCCACTCTGACAGGCACTATCGCCTCATATCGCACTGCACTCTTCTTTAAACCCACACCATCATCACCACCACCACCATCCAAATGATGGAGGGTCACACCTTCTCAGTTGCACCCAGTGTGGGAAACCACACCTGTTTGTCTTGTCAAGAGTGCTAACATCCCAATGCGTGTGCATGTGTGTGTGTGACTGAGCCTCTTTGCCCACTCGCCTAATGCATCACGCCCGACAGGGTGTCCGTTTGTCACGCACACCATTGCCATGGAGACACTAATCTTTTTTTTTACTCCCCGCTTTAGGGGAAGCGCTTTAAACATTAATAACCCCGAGCCCTTGAAGCCTGCTGCCACAGTCTGCTGGCACGGGGAGTGAGTGGGCTCCATGGGGCCTGGCACCTCGTGGGGTTAAAGCGCCGTCGGTCCCGCAGGTTTTATTTTATTATCACGGTTGCTGAGCACAGTAGGTCCAAAACGCCAAGCGGCCAGCAACAAACGGCACTGTTAAAGTTGAAATAGTTAACATGTCTTGAATTGAGCAAGGCTAATATAAAAGCCTCGAAAATAGATACGATCGAAGGGAATTCTAAAGTATGGCAGTGCGAGGAAAGCAGAGAAGTGTTCTGGCCTGCAGTGTGATGGCTGAACACAATGAATGCGACAAACAGTAACTCTGGTAGACAAGGGTCCTCAACATGGAAGGAGGATTTAATGAAGTTTATGGGAACAGTACACACGGTACAAGTCCCAGGTTTGTGACAGAGGAGAGACACTGAGGGAGATTGAGAGAGACTGGGAGAGTCGAAGGCTGAGAGATGAAATTAAGTAATCTATGATTTTACCGATTATCAGTTTGAAGCGGACAACGCAAAAACAGCTGGAGAGAAAATAATGTCACATCTGTTCCCACTTGTGCTGCCGAACAGGAGGTAATGGTCAAGCCTTGCTGATGCCATTGCATTCTAGGGGGTTTCCTGCCTTCGGGAGGCAGGATGTGGCGGCCACCAGTTATAAAGGGGCCCGAGTATTCAAACACAGAAAGTAACTTCATTCAGATGTCAGTCATCCCAGCTGTGGGTGATATTTAGAGACTGAGAAAGACGAACAGAAAACAAAACTTGGAAATAGGGAGGCAGACCGGGATAGGTTTGAGACGGGGCTTAATTTGTGAGTGAATATGTATATGTTTGAATATACTTTCACTGATATAATTCAGTAAGTGGCACGCTACGAAAATAAGCCACAGCCAAAGCGAGGGTTATGATGATGCGGCTTGTCGGTTGCGGAAATGTGTTCAGGTTCGCCCACGTTGACAAATCTGGCTGATATTCGGCCCAAGGGTTGAGAGAAGTGGCAGGTTGCTTCTAAATTGGAATCTGTGGTGGGGTGCCAGGAATTGATTTGGGTCGAGATCTGGTGATAGTATGTTGAACTTTATTGCATTCGACTACAGTTTTGATAGACCTCGGCTGACTGAGAAATGTTTAGGTTTGCTCTATGGAAAAAAAATGTGCCAATCATAATTTGAGTGGCTGACAAAATATTGACTGGGAGGGGCTAAGTGACTTAAACAGAACGAGAGATGGTCGGGGCAAGTGGCGATTGCTAAAGCCGAATGGGAACGATGTAGTTCAAAGAGCTAAGAAGCAAGGTCACGCAGGATTTGAAGACAATGAAAGGCTTTGGGCGGTGGGAGCTTTGCGGTAATTCGCACAGCAAACACGGTACACTACTTACACAGTGCTCGTACCGTGGTTGTGACATGTGAGGAGGGGTCACAAAATAAAACTCTGGCTCCGTGGTCTCCGTAGCCGAGAGCGACCGTAGAGCCACCGGGCAGGCAGCCCTACCATAGCACCCGGTTACTACTCCACATGGCTGTTATCCGTTCCTTTGTCAGGCAAAAATGTAATAAGTTGGCTTGTCGTGTGGGCAATGGGGCTGGCGAAAGAGTGGCTATTTACGTAGTGGCGGGGTAAGACATTGCGAGTTTGACTGTTCCCCAGTCAAGCAGCTAAGCTAGCTGCTAATCAACAAAGCAGCCGTAGCCATTTGCTTTGTCTCGTCGGTTGTGGTAGGCGAGGGGGGCTGGGTGATCGAGTGGTCGCTCAGTGGCACACGGGGCCATGGCAGGGGGAAAGGCATCGTGCGCGTGGCTGACGGCGTCCGTTGGAGGGAGACCTTCGCTTCATCTCTCCGCCCGAATGTTTCCATCGTGGCACCGCCGCCACCGCTGCTGCTGCTGTCCTCACACAGGCGTGAGGGGACGCGCGCGCTACCGCTCCACATTTCCCACCGCGCACACGCACGGGGGGGGGGGGCGCCTCACGCGGCTACGTCCCGCCGATTGGTGCGCGCCGCACGTGACGCGTGACGGTCGCGCGCTTAATCCGCATTGGGAAATATAAACCATGCGTCAGTTCCCCCCCCCCCCTTTACTCTTCCCTCTGCTCCCTCGTGTCACGTGATCCGGCGGCGCGAGGCGACCTCCTCCTCTCACACCCCCCACACCCTCCTTCCTCGTGACGCACTTCCGTCCAACAGACGTCACGGCACGGGGCATTGCGTCACCGGCGTCGCGTCGCGCCGGCCAGGGCGAGGCGCGACAATCGAGGGTGCGACTCTCGATTGAGCGCGCTCCACTCGCCGGTAGCGATCGGCACGACGACGGTCGACTGATCGCGTCTCGCCCTCACCGAGCGAGAGAGGTGGCGGAGGAAGGGGGGCGTGGCTGCAGACAGGGGAGGGGCCTGCATCTCGCGCCCCCCCCCCTCGCGACCCCGGCAGCAGCAGCGAAGCAGAAGCAGCCGCGGCGGCAGCAGCAGCAGCGGCGCGCCGGCCCCGCGCTCTCCCCGCCGCTCGCTCGCCCGTACCGATCGCCCGCCCGCCCGCCCGCTATACGAGAGTAGCTAGACCACACACCTGTCGTCCGTCTCTGTCTGCTGGCCAGTCGGGCAGCCAGACAGCCCGGACTGTATAGCCGACTCCGCAGCTTTAGTCGTCAGCTGGTGGGGGGCCAGCGGCGGCCTGCCTGGTTGACTGACCGGCTTGTTGACCGGCCGGTTGATTGACTGGGCTGGTTGACCGGCTGACCCCGGTCAACTAACTAGCAGACTGGCGGCTGGGTTGGCCAGCTGTTGACTTGGCTGGTTGACTAACTTGGCTGGTTCAGCTGGCTCTGTTCGCTGCTCGAAACCCTGCCCCCCCTCCCCCGGGGTTGACGCTGATCCGGCTCGTTGGCTGTGCTGTGCTGGTGAGCCGGTTGAGTAAACCGGTGGGCAAGTCTGGTTGACCGACGACTGGGTGACCGGCCGAGCCTTCTCCGAGTCCGAGCGAGGCGTTGTGAAGGGGAGGACGCGGGCGCCGCGTGGGGTCGCGGGGGCCGGGCCCGTGGTGGAGCCTCCGGCGGGCGTCTCTACCATGCATCGCGGCCTCGGCACCACTGACGAGCGCCCACGGATAAGGTGTGTGTGATGGTGGTGGTGCTATTGTGTTGTAGTGGGGTGGGTGAGAGTCTCTTGTGTGGACAGCGGTGTGTGTCATTGTGGTGTGTACTGTATAGGTGTGTGTTGGCATGTGTTTGTGTGTGTCTTTGTGTTGAATGTGGTCTTGTTGCGATGTGTATTGTGTGGCGTGTATATTCGTGTCGTGTGTGTGTGGTTTTCGGGTGTGTGGGAGTGTGTGTTGCCTTTTCGGGTGTGTATCATTGTGTGTGGGTATTACTACAGTGGGTGTGGATAGGTGCTCGCTAACAGCAGTTTCCTCTCAATCGCCTTTGCGGCTACACGGGGAGCATCGTCTGTGGTAGGTGTTTAATGTGTGCGTGTCTTTGCGGTGTGTGTGTGTGTTTATGTTCTGCTTGGGAGTGTGTGGGGGTGGTGTTGTGTGTGTCTGCTGTACCGTGGCTGTGTGTGGGGTACATGCATCGCGTCGCTCTTCTCGACCTGCGCCACGAACCCGGTCCACCTGGGTTCGACTCCGGGACACGCGGCTTGGCTCTGTGGCTGTTGATATCACAACTTGTCGTGGCCCTCCCCAGGGTACGTGCAGACATCGGCACTAGGGAGAGACAAAGACGGCGGTCTTTACCCATTATTCAATTTGACTAACGGGTGTGGTGTGGGATTAGGGGGGGGTCTTTTTCTTTGTGTGTGGAAATGGGGGGGGGGGGCAAGTCTCCCCCCCACTTATACTGCGGAACCGATGGCGTCTTTTGTGCGGTGTTCGCCGCCTTTAATCCTCGCGGCGGCGGCGGCGTGGACACGGGACGAGGCGTTTCAGCACGAAGCGGCGTAGACGACGAGACGGCGGTGGTTGGCGGTAGCTTTTGCGGCGGCGGGGCTCAGTTGTGCGAAGGGAGGATGACAAGAGAGAGAAAGGGGGTCGTCGCATGGCGTTGGCAGCCAAACAATAACCCCTCTCTTTCCTCCTCCTCCTGCTGACTCGTCCCTGGCTCGTGGCTTCATTGTCACCATCCTTCGACGATTCGCGTCGCCGCCGCCGCGAAAGACGCTGGCGCACGGAGCGACGACCCCCCCCATGCACGAACGGTCGCGGGGCTGGGTGGACTTTGACAGCGATGGCAGTCCTAGAGGAAGGAGATAGGGGAAGGAGATAGGGGAAGGAGGAGTAAAGATGGAGCGGGAGATCGGTTGAGAGGATGGGGTTGGCGTGGGCCCGGTGGGGGGGGGGGGGGGTGTGAGAAGCAGATGAAGAATGTAGAGATGAGGAAGGTGCGTGAGGAGATGGTGGAGAGAGTTGAACGAGGAGGGAAGATGCAGGGCTTGGAGCTGGGAAGGAGAGGGAAGCCGAAGAGGGAAGTGTAGATGAGGGACGTTAGAAGGAGGTGGAGAGTGGAGATATGCAGAGGATATCGACCGGCAAGGGAGAAGAGACGAGGATAGATGTGAAGAGAAGACGGAGGAGGAGGAGATAACTGGAGAGGCAGGAGATGCATTGAGGGGATAGATGAATAGGAAATATGCGAGGGGGGTTTAGCTATAGCGAGACGGAGGAGAAACGAATGGGAGAAACATTGAGAGAGGATAGAGAGGGCGAGAGATGGAGGGAGTGGGAGATATGAAGATGAGATAGAAGTGGGGGAGATGGCGGAGTCGAGGTGATGGGGGGAGAGGTAGGCCGGCTTTGTTGCGTCTCGTACGAACGCGGCGGCTTGATGAGAGCCAACTTTTGTTCCGACGCCGACATTGTTTGGTCCCAGAGCGGCGGCGGAGGCGGCGGCGATGAGATCGCGGAATAACAAACATTAATGTGGACAGCTCGGGACAAAGGGGATGAGTGTTCTCTTGACATCAACGCGCAGCGGCTGTCCTCCTCGCAGACGATGGCGGGGGGAGGCGGCTTTTCGCCCTTAAGTTGCTTCACTCTCTCAATCTCTCCATCTGATTGCTCACAAAAGCAAGCCGGCAAAACCAGCAGCTGGCCTTAATTACGAGTACACAGGTTCGAGATGCACCATCGCTGAAATAACCCCTTAAAATAGCGCACTGTTTAATCAATAAATCCACCCACCCCCTCCTCCCCCCCCTCCGCCTGTTTGCCCGTGGCGGGCTAAGGTTAGGCGAGCACACGGCTGCCGCTGTTGCATGCGGTATGACCTGCCTTTGTATAAGCGAGCAGAAATCTGGGATGAGCCTAATCTCACCCGGCCTCCTAATCACCTCCTGTCGCAGACCCCTCGTGACTTAATAGATTAATTAAAGGGCTCTTTCGTGCCGGGCCCCGCTCGCCCACTGTCATCGGGGATGGCAACAGCAGCGCCCGGTTTTGGTGGCCGTCCAAATCCCAGCCAGGGCCATCCAAAGTCTTGTTGCTGGTCCCCCCCACGTTCAAATGTTTTTTTTTTACTTTTCCCCTGGACAGAAGGATGCCTGTCATGGAACACTGTAATAATAATAAGCATGAGAGGCACGGCTTAGTCAAGCTGCCATATGCTTTAGTAATTACCCGGTAATGTGCCTTAGGCGTTTATAATAAGTCTGACGGAGACGTACGTGGCCCACGACTTGAATTCGTGCGAAGTGAAAGGCAAGATGCCTCGCCGGCGCGTCGCATCGGCCCTCCGCGCGTCCCTTTAAAGCGTGAAAGGTAACGCTTTGGTAATTGCGGTCACGCGGAGGCTTGGTATGAGAGCCAGGTGGCACGGTCAGCCGTGAGACACGCCATGGCCTCTCTGCAGAAATCGATACGCTCGCTCGCCCGTTCGGCCCAAACGGCGAGTGATGCCTTCGGGATAATTTTAGGGGCTGAGAAGCGAGCTTGCTTGTTTGCCTGCGTGAGAGCCGTGGTCGGCCGTCTGACCGAAGAACCGGCCGGTCAACCACCGCCTCCCCTCCCCGTGCTATTTGGCTTGAAACCCAAGCTTATTTGCTGCTGCCTTCGAAAAAAAGGTGGCCGCCCCCAGGCGGGCAAGGACTTTAATAGTGGCCCTGAAGTCATCTGTTCACGGGACGATGAATACGGTATTCAGGCAGCATCAAACAGCCGCTTTCAGTTACGAGCCGGCATTCTGGGTCTTGTCACAAACCAGGGCTTGGATGTACGGATGAAAGCAAAATTGTGTTCGCAGGCCTAGCGCCGCTGTGCCGAATGGACGCCTCTTTCCGTTAGAAGGGCCATAGGTACGATGAGAAAGAATTGGGCGACCAGGCCCGAGCAGCGGCTGTCCTGTGTTACAGGGCGCACGCTTGGACAGAATGTTCGGCCGCACTTTTCAGCATTGTGAGACCCTTGGGTAGCCTTCGAGGAACCTTCTGGTGGGCACTTGATTTGAATGTTCAGCCTACTGCTCTCAGACATACCCAGGTCACTCTTGCAAATGAGACTCTCCTGGTCTCTTAAGTTCTCACCTGGTTAAACAAAGGAAACTTGAAATATACGTGGTGGGATTATTGTTGAGAAATATATGGGCTCCAGCGGTAGCGGTTGGCACACTGCACTTCCAATTCGGTGACATGAGTTTGATTTCCCGCTACAGTCAAAATCAGAAGCGAGTGATATCTGAACTGGTTCTGGGCGCACCTTTACCAGCTCGCACTAACCAGAGTGGTGAAGTACGGTGACACAATCCCCACGTCTGTCCCGACATGGAGGCCTTCATCTCGCAGTGGATTGATCGAGGGCTGTAAACTCTGACATGTAGATTTCATCTTCCGCATGCTCTCGTCAGTCGCTTCAGTGCAGCGGCGTAGCCGCGTTACGGTCTGCTTGGGATATTTACGTTTTGGATTGGGAAAGGGATGCAGTCACCTCTGGCGTAATCCTGCAACCGTTAAACAAAATTATTATGTACAGTAGGGTCTTTATATTTGTATCCTAATTATTCTCCACTTAAGCTGTCCCGATAATTAAGGTGTTTCAACTTTATTTTTAAAATACTGTAAATGGATTCAATGCCCCGTGCTCTGTGTCATTATCCAAACAAACTGGTCGTGCACCTTGACACAGCTCCTTGTGATAACTTTGGCTTTTTTGAAAACGCTTTGTAATCTATACCAAAAACAGCTGCCCTGTCTTATGACTTACACACGCTGGATTTTTAAGGCATCGCTGAGCACTCAGTATATTAACGCTGACATTTAACCAAACGCGTTTTCGTTCTGTTTTGCAAGAGTCTTGCGCTCGCGTACCGACGCTCGTTTCGCGCAAACTGCTTGGAAACGGCGGCTGAATACCGCTATTGTGGAGCGAAATCAAAGGCGCCGCTTGTGTTGGAGCTGAGGTGGTGGGGGGGCTCTCTTTTTCTTGTGCTTATAAGGGAGCACATCTCAAACCGAGCCCAAAGTTTATCAACACCAACCACCGTCGGGCCCGGTTTAGGTTAACTCCGGTACGGGGCGTTGTATTCCATTAAGGGGCTCATTTAGCGTAGCGTAAAAAAAATTTTTGCAGCGGGGCAGCGTGCGCCACAGATCTCTGTATTGAGCTTGGGATTTGGCGAACCCTGTGAGAGGGGTTTTAGATGGGATTTGGGAGCAGCTGAAAATTTGCGTGCTGTGTCAGCACCTCGGTTAAGCTGCCGCTTGCGAGAGGGCCTTAATTAGTTCGCAAGGCTGGTTTTATTCGTGCATTTTTCCTTTGCTCCTCTGAATTTAGAACTCACGCCCGTTTAATCTGGCTGACTGCTGCTGATCTGTCTACTCCTCTGTAAAGTAATCTGTGTCATTTGCGCCATCTCCACTCATTATTGGCTTTGTAATTTTAGTCGAGCTGCGAAGGATTTTCACGCGTAAAAAAAAATACAAATCGAATTTGTAATGTCCTCGATTATATGAAGAGCGTGTAAAACGTATAGGAATTTGATGTGCAAAGAGCAAAGGTAGGTGTGCAGATTCCTCCACAATTAGTGAACGGTGATCGTTAATCACGCGCCGGGCTGAGTAACGCTCTCGGCAGAATTCCATTCGGCTCAGGTGCTTGGCAGGCCCCTTCCACCGCGATGAGT